ATCATTCCAAAAAAGGGCATAAAATACACATTCAACACAAACCTGCTTTTATTGCTAGTAATTTCCAATTAGGAATTTAATTCATCAATTATTTATTTGAGGCACAGATAAAGAAAGACAGAGGGAGAGAGACAGACCAGAGAAATGTGGACGGTGGCCCAAGTAAGGCCAACTCAAAACCAGAAATTCAGTCCAGTTCAACAAAATAGATATCAGGAACCCTACTACTTGAGCCATCATCTGGTACCTCTGAACGTGGACAGTCATTGGAAGTGTATTAAAAGCATAGGCAGGATTCAAATCCAACCACTGTAACTGGAACATGGACATGTCAAACCAGGCTTTAACCAATAAGATGAAGTCCTACCCTAGTTCTTACTTCATTTTATAACTTGATGGAAATACTGTGTTACATTAGCAGAGAGAGAAAGAGAAAGGCACAGAAACGAGAGGAATGGATGTTGTAGAGCTGTAATTTAATATAATATATAGAATGCCCACCTTCCATATCAGAGTGCCTGGGATCAAGTCCCACCTCAATTTTCATTCCTGCTTGCTTTTGACACACACACGTGGGCAAGGCAGCAATTAGGGCTCAAGTACTTGGGTGGCTGCCACCAACAACGGAGACCCAAATGTGATTCCCTATTCCTGACTTTGACCTGAGCTTTGCCCCAGTTTGTGAAGTGAACGAGGGACTGAAAGACACAACGAACTAGAAATACAATGTTTCTTCCATATATTTAAAAAAAAGTCTCTGGTTAAACTCTTGATCATTCTGCAAAATTCACATGTAGATATTGCATACTCTGTGTTGTGTTGCCTTCCAGGGTTTATGCTGCATTCTCAAGGATACTTTTAGGGGCAAGCAACAGAGAACCAACTTAACAGTATGAGCACAAAAAAAAGTTCAGGATCATATCATTAAATTAGCAGGGATAAAATTGATTCAGGAAATCTAGCATGTTGAGAGGCAGTGATTCATCAGAATTTCATCTCGTCTATCTGCTTTGTCCCTCATGAGTGCAAACTCAGGGCAGACAGCATTCCAGTTGTACCTTCCCAGTTTAGCTTTCATAATAGAGAATTTTCTTGCAAGTTCAGACAAAAACTGAAGAAATTATCTGAATACCCTGGCTTGGGTTATGTGTCCATGCATTTGGCATTGGCCCTTGTCTCTTATCTAGAAACCCTCTAGAATGAAAGGAAAATAGAAAGATTCCCCAGGATGGGAACTTTGGAACAGCCAATTAAGCCTTTGTCTGTGACACCTGCATCAGATTTTATAGTGCTGGTTTGAGGTCTGGCTATTCTTCTTCCAGTCCAACACACTGATAAGGTACAATGTAATCTGCAGGGAAGGCAGCAGACAATGGCCCATGACTGGAGTTCCTGACACTCATATGGAAAACTCAAATTTCCTGCTCCTTGCTTTGACCTGGACCAGCCCTGCTTGTGGTGGGTGTTTGGGATGTACGTAGTGAACTGAAGATCTGGAAGATCTTGGGCTCAATCTCTCTCTCTTCCCCTACCATTCCTGATTCTGCCTTTCTAATACATTCCTATTTTAACAATGAGGGATAAAGAAGAGAAAATTCTCCAATAGAACTGAAAGTTTCTGTTGCCAAAAGAAATTTGAAGGGTTGTGCCAGACAACTAAAAGCAAGTGTTACTTGACACTTGATAAAATACAATTGATCAAAATGGTTGTGGAATGTTTGTCTTGACTACAGTTCTGTGGTCATTTAAGGTAGTTAAAAACACCCTGAAAATATATGTAAAAATGCTCGTGTATGAATCTGTGCAACAAGAGGTCCAACTCTAATACATGAAAAAGTTTGGGGGCAAAGACACTGGAATTGGAAAAGGAGATGCTTCTGTACCCCACCCCAACCCACTATTAAATTCCCCTGAAATAAGGAACCTCGAAACAAAATGCAAAGCTGTGTGGGGCAATGTTACAGAGCCGAGCACTTGAAGATATGGAGCTTTCATTTGATTTCTATGTATTTCCTATTCCTTTTATGTTACCACAACAAAACATTTGAGGCAAGGTAATTTATAAACAGCAGCTCTGGAGGCTGGAAAGCACAAGGTTCGGTGTCTGATCAGGCACCAATCTTCTTGCGGGATAGTACCATGAATGCCTTGGAATCATACGAGAGAGAAGACCAAAGGACAAGGCCTGAGTAGTTCCGTGACACCCTTTTGTAAAGGTTGATCCCCTGCTTGAAGACAAAGTCCTCATGATGTAAGAACTTTCTCTCTGGATGGGCATTGGGTCTTAGATCGCAACACATGAATTTTAAGGAGACATGCACACACAAACCTACACAGTTCACCTCATAAATCTATTTTAATCACTTGTTAATGATGAATTATCATAAACTCCTTTGCCAATAAAAATAACTTAGTATAATGCTTGCACATGGTGGATTTTCAGTGCTGACATAAATATAAGAACTATATACGCACCAGGGCTTATTCAAAGTGGCACATCCCACTTGAAATCATCACATAATTTTAACACCACCACAACCCTACACACTTAACCCTACATTTTACATTTTCATCACAATCAATCATCATTCATCCCATTCCATACCCTACATTCATCCTATCTATACATATCATTCAAATATATCATCCAAATTTCATTCCCACATCTATCAATCCCACTTAATAAATTATCCAAACCATAACAATCAACTACAATTCCTATTAAATTACCCTTCATCATTACATTCAACTTATCATTTTACTCCATTTAGTTATCACATACTCCTAATTCCATTTCCTTATCAGTCCTCTAACCATTAATAAAAATTTTATACATCCACCATCCCCTTTTACCTATTTATCAAATTATTAATCCTCAAAACCCAACCCCTACCCATATCATTTCCACACTCCAATATTCACATTAAACAATCCCTATCCTTAACCAAATTTTCTACTTTATTATTCTTTTTCACTCTAACCACCCCCTAATCAATTTTCATTTTCCTTCCTAATCTTCCTCCCCCATCTTCTAATCCTTTACAAATCACATCCCTATATAATTCATACACACACCACACTCCAATACTCACAAATTCCATACTTATATCTCCAACCATCCACCACCCTACCCCATATTTTCTCACCAAATACCTTCCTTACCATATTATATATCAATTTCATTCGAAAATTCATATCAAATCAATATTAACATAATAACACCTTAAAACCTATAATTTATATATCATACATAATATACTAACATAATATATTTATCAAATGTGATTTCACAATTCAGTATTATATTAATTACAATTTTACATATCCCTACCCAAACATATATTACCATATCAAACCCAATGTACATAATAATTTTACATCAAATCTATCTAAACCCACTATTCAAACTATAACATCTAAACCCCATTAAATCATTTACTTCATAAAAAACCAAATCTTTCCGTATACTCAAAAACTTTTATTCAATAAACCATCCCTATACTTTATCATTCTTTTAAACAATCCAAATTATTACATAGTACATGCTTCCTATTTTCTTGTCTTGTCACGAACCAATTTAGTACCATTTTTACATTTTTTCAGCACTTAACATAACATTCTATCAATTATCATACGTTACACTGTGTGTGTGTGTGTCAGATCTATCCTATGAGACACTGTGAAGATTGTTAAGAAGCTTAAGTTTGTGCTAATTAAATAAACAAATCAATTTTGGAAAGCTGAGAAATAACATTTAAAGTTAAAAGATGAATATGGCTGCGTTGTGAATAGTAGATTATAGATAAGCAAAAGAGGAGGAGGAGAGACTGGTTTCTTGGTGATGACAGGTTTACAAAAGAGGGGACATGTGTATTGTTTCATGCTGTGGAGTTCTGCCCTTACAAAATGGTCAGCCATGAACTCAAATGAAGGAGTCCTATGCAAGATCGCCTGATTCGCTGTCATGCTATAACTAATCTGGGCACTGAAGCAGTGACAGGCAGTGGAGGAAATACCCAATCTGCTGGATTTTTTAAAACAAGTTTTGTATTTATTGGTATGTGTAACATACAGGTCCTCACGATTTTAACATAATTTTGCATGATTCAGTGTTTATTGTCTATTAAATAACTGGAGATTTATTTTTCAACTGTGGATGCTGATGATATAACAAGATTTTCCATAAATGAATATTATGATATTTATACAATGTCAAATATTTGCAGAATGATAATTGATAGCACACATATTTTAAAACAATATTTTACAATTCTTAGAATGCTTCTCTTTCATTCTGTAATTATTAAAATTACTCATACTACAAAAATCTGAGATCCTGTTTCTTAGTTGAATTAATCATCTCTGTAAAAGTGAACTGATAATTTTCATGCATTATTAGTTTATGATGTTTTTACAAATTATTTAAATTTGGATTAGATGTGCTGAAATGGTGGTCATTAAAGTAATGTAACAAATTTAGTTCTAAATGTGCATAATAGCTTGAAAAAATAAATTCCAGTTCATATATTTTTTCATGTTAAATTAATAGGATTATAATCATGATTAGTTTAGCTTTTAATCTTTTCATTTGTGTTTCTTTTATACTTCAAAAGATCAGACCAGTAAGAATTTTTATCACATTTCATGAATTCTAAATTTCTAACATATGTGTTTTATCAATAATTCAGTTACATTTTCAGCTTACGCTTTTCCAATTACAATATATTGTGTTAGTTTACATTCCAGGAATTTAGTCTCTTCTTAACAAAGATATTCTACGAGCATTCTTATGAACACTATTCTTATGAACATTATTGATAAGGCTAACTTAAATTTTTAAACTATTTTAACCAATAACACATTTAACCAATAACAAATTTAATGGTCAGTGCCTGACCATTTATCAATACTCATTTGCTTTAACCACATTCAAGTTAATTTACTATTTTTTACTTTATGTGATATTTAGACTGTAAAACCATAATACTTGTATTTTGCAGATCGTTGCCTTACGTGAACAAAATGTTCATATACAAAGGAAAATGGCATCAAGTGAGGGATCCACAGAGTCTGAAAATCTGGAAGGGATGGAACCAGGTCAGAAAGTCCACGAAAAGGTAAGGCTGGCAACACAGCTCTCAACTTGGAAACACTTTCTGGCTATGTCATGCGACAGGAATGGGAGATCTAAAAATTGTGTGATGCATAAAATAATTACTGTTGATTTAATAATAAATAATATAGTCAAAGATCTATGGTGATTTTCTATATCATTTGTTACTCTTGATTCTGTTAAAAGTGATATATAAGTGTATGTTTATATTTTATTTTCTCACGACTTGCTTTTCATTTAATTTCTTTAAGCTCTGCAATTATCTGTAATTTAATTTGCATACATAAAAACAATGCACAATTAGTGACCATTTTGATTATTACTGCAATAGTTTTTGAAATCTCTTATTTGATTTAGTATTTGAAATGACTCCAGCAATACTCCTTTATTGAAGGATTGCACAATGCAATAGCTGATGTCAGGGACTTTCACCATTCCTTTAAGAGGAATAATTCTACTTAGGGGTAGGGCTAAGTCACCACCAAAACCACCAGTCATGCAGCCACTATGTAATGAAGGTATTTGCATGACTGTCACATTAGTAAGTGTATTGCACAGTGCCTATTAGGGACAAAAACAAAACAAAACAAAACAAAACAAAAAAACGCCTAACATTTAGGGGACAGACCCAATGACTTACCTGGCTGACTCTCCACCTCCAAGCACCAGCATCACATATGGGCACTTGTTTTTGTCCTGGCTGCTACACTTCCTTTCCATCTCCCTGCTTGTGGCCCGGGAAAGCAATAGAGGATGGCCCAAAGCCTTTGGACACCACAGCTGTGAGGGAGACCCCAAAAAAAAGTTCCTGGCACTTGGCTTCAGATCAGCTCAGCTCCAGCTATCACTATTGTTTGGGGAGTGAAACAAAGGATAAAGATTTTTCCCTCTGTCTCTCTTTCCAAAAAAATAAATCTTAAAACAAAACCCTGAAAACTGTTGGTGGATATTAATGTAACTTTCACAAAGTGACTTATAAGTCTATGCCAAGAGATTATACTTTGCTTAGAACAGAAGCATGCTTTTAAGCAATAAATATTTTCCACTGGTGTCTACAGTCTGTTGACAAGAGTCCAGAAAAAAAAATAGTGTCACAAAAATCATACTTTGAACACTTGCTTTTTACTGGTTTAAAAAAAACGTTTATTATCAACATATTAGGAGCAAAAGTGCAAATTAAAAATAAGCTATGTTCCCCTCAGGACACTTAATAAGGTGTCTGTGTGACCTTGCATTTACTCAATTGTTCAAGAAGATACAATTGTTCTCAAAGTAATAACAATTTTCACAAATCTTATTGCCTTCTTCAGAACTGGGCTTATTCTCTATTATTCTATTGTTTTCTCATTCTTTAAAAAAAAAAAAAGGTATTTATGGGGACTGGTGAGGTGGCTTAGCAGCTAAAGTCCTCTCCTTGGAAGTGCCGGAATCCCATATGAGCACTGGTTCTAATCCCAGCATCCCAGCCCCCTGTTTGTGGCCTGGGAAAGCAGTTGAGGATGGTCCAAAGCTTTGGGACCCTGCACCTCAGTGGGAGACCCTGAAGAAGTTCCTGGTTCCTGGCTTTGGATGGACTCAGCACTGGCTGTTGTGGTCACTTGGGGAGTGAATCATCAGACAGAAGATTTTCCTCTCTGTCTCTCCTCTTCTCCAAGCAGTAAAGCCAAGTAGGATACTGAGCGTTATTAATTTGTCATTTTTGGAAAGAGAAGGTCCAAAGATAGTCCTGTATATGAGGGCTGGATTTGTCTGATGTTATGCGATTGATCAGGAACAGGTTCACAAATATTTCATTCCTTCGTCCCTCTATCTCCCTCCAAAAACAAAAAGACACATATAAACATTCCTTAAGAATGTAATGGATGCTTCACACTGTTCATCCAAAGAGAAGTAAATTAGGACATGATGCCTTATGCAATTTTAAGCAGCTCTCCTAACTATAGCATTTTTTTTTTAATTTTCAGTATTGTTAGTACACAGATGCCCTTTTGCTATGAGCAAACACATGTCAGAATGAGCTAGGTATTCCTTGCTGACTCAGGTCCTTTACGAACATGAGCAAATTGTTATTCAAACCTGTCTGGAAACCCCACTTACGAAGAACTACAAGTCTACTAAACTATGATAAATAACTGATATGGTACCTTATGCAATTTCCAAACACAAGGCTTTTATATAAGTCATTTCAATTGATCCATGTGACAATCCTGTGAGGTTTATACAGCAAAGATTACTGATGCAGAGTCATATGACTCATGAACAGGAGGAGTTGAGATAAACTGGTGAAAAGTGTACAAAGATTAGAAGCAAATTTCAGGTGCTAAAACAGTGGTGTATAAGCTGTCTAACTCCATGAATTTTAAAGTGGGCATGCATTTACTTGAAACAAATTCTTAAGCCTGTCCAGGCTCTAAGAAGATGAACGAGCTTATTTGATTAACCATGACTTCAAACATTTCTTCAAAAAGAAGCCTTAGATAAAGACAAATTCCGTTATACTTCTCTGAATGTCTCCAGTAATCATTTGGTCAAGTATATTTCCCCAAAAGCTCTTACTGCTTTATCTTTTGTCATCAATTACTTTTTTTCTCCACTCTGTTCTTAGGTAATATGAAATTCTTCCAACATGAAGCAAAATTGTTTTAAACACCAGCAATTGCTCTGTTTCTGTTCCCTCCTCACAGCAAAGTACTTCCCACATCTTGTCACTGTCTAAAAGTACTTCCTCTCCACGCTCCTACGAAATTATCTTAACACAGTTGGTCCCACCAAGTTCATACCAACCATTCCACCACTTCACCAAATCCCTGTAGGTACAGTTATCATCAGCATTGTTAGTCAACCTCATAGTTATAAGTAGTGTCCAAATGCTAGTACTCACAAGAGTTTGCCTTTAATCAGGTCCTACAATCAGGCACATATATCTAATCATACAACTAAGACATTTTACACTAACAATGTTAGAAACCTACCTCTTAACATCCACATGATAACCCCACCAAAAACCAAAGCTTGACTAATAAAACTATTCTTCTCCCTCACATGTGAAGATAATTCTACCCTTTCTGCCTTTCAAGCTCAAGAATTAGGGACCTGTTCCTTGCTATGCACCACCAGGTCACACTACAAATGACTCTACTGTCATATTTTTCAAAACATATAGTTTCCCTAACCACTCTGGTTTGATCCACTTTCACATCCCATCTAGACAATTGTGATTTCTTCTCGGGAGTTTCCTTTGTTTCTCTCATGACCCTCAGTAATCTTTCCAACACAGAATAAATCCAAATATTTTAAAAGATAATATCTGGGAGTGGGTGCAATAGCTCAGCTGGCTAATCCTTTACATACAAGCACCAGTATCACATACAGGCACCAGTTCATGTCCTGGCTGTTCCACTTCCTATCCATCTCCCTGTTTAAAACAATCCCAAAGAGTGGGTTAGAACCGGCACCTGTATGGGATCCCAGCAGATACAAGGTTAGGATTTAGCCACTATCCTATTGCACCTTGCCCTACTTATATGATTCTTTAACCTCACAAAACTTTAAAACCACATAGATTTGTGAGCATTGGCAGGTCAAACTGCCTCTTGCCACAAGAACTTCCCATATTAGAGTGTCTGTTTGAAGCCTAGATTCTCCACTTCTTGAAATTATTAAAATTTCATTTGCAGTTACCAGGAAATGCAGTAGACAATGACCCATGCGTCTGAGCCTCTGCCTCCCATGTAGGAGATCCTGGCCCAGACTCAACTACTACCACCATTTAGGAAGTGAATGCGCAGATAGAAGATTTCATACTCCGTCTCGTGCTCTGTTTTCTTTTTGTTGCTCTGTCTTTCAAATAAATGCATATCTTTTTTAAAAGAAATTTACCTAGAAGTGTTTATAAACATCTACCTTTCTGCTCCCCATCATTAGATATTACTTATAACAAGATTTGTTCAATGTTTTCTCATTCCACTCTCCCAACAACTCTGTTGCTAGTCCCAATTAAAGAATGATTAATATAGAATATTAACTCTAACTTTGGTTTTACTGTTATGTAGATCTTATACACTGATGGGTTTTTACACATTTCAGATACAATGTGTAGCTTAAAGCAACGTAGCATTTTTTTTTTGCTAGAGAACTTTAATGCAAAGATAAAATGTGGTTGTAAGAAAATACTTCAAGGCTAATTTTGAGTTAAAATGTAATAATGACATCACTTATTTAATGTCTAGATAAACACAGATTCTTCTGAAGTCAAGTCCTGGCTTTCCTGGCATTTGCATGTGTCATTTGATATTTACAATATTTTCATTGCTTACCTACCTATTCTATTCACACGTTATGCTCAACTTAGCAGCCTAGTATCTGGAATAGAAGAAGTCAGACAAACTGTATAGTTTTGACAGATGATTGAATGTGCCAATAAATGAACTAGGAAGTTAAAAAGTACTTAATGAATTTTATAAAAGACTGGAGGGAATAATAAGAGGGAGAGAAGAAGAGGAAAAGACTTGTAGGGACTAGAATGGCTGAGTTCACAGCTTGACCTCATTCATTTTTGTGTTGAGGATTTAGGAGAAATGCACTTTACATCAGATATGTTTCTTGTGTCTAATATGTTATTAAATAAAGTGTACAACAAAATGCCTATAATGCAACTTAATTAATATTACCATAATGAAGCAATTGTTATTAGCTCAAGATTGCAGCCAGAAAATGTATCTTTGGGGTAACCACTCTAACTGTAGGCTGTTATTGTTATTTGTTGTGCTAGTGGATACAGTCTTATTTAGGAGTTAGATGTAAACCTATGCTTGATAATCCAAAGTAAAATGAGTGGTACGAGGACCACTTAGAACGACTAGAAATATTTTCTAAAACATCTTAATGTCTTCAAAAGTACTATTTTGGATTAATACCTAGTCTAAGACTTACTCATGTAATGGAATGCTTTACTGAGTTGAGCTAGCTTCAAATTCTGTGTTGACTTATGCTAACCCTAAAATATCATTACCATTTCCTGCTTGGAAGTATTTGTGTTATTATTTTTGTGCTTCTGAATACTTATCCTTTGTGGATTTGTAGTGTTTAAGTTTTTGGTTATACCTCCCATTAGCACTACAATTTTATTTCATAGAATGAATTCTTTTATTAAACTTGCCCATTTACAAGAATTTTTTCCCAAACACCAAACAGTTATCACTGGCTGATTATTTATTCTGATTGCAAAACTAAGTGCCACATCTTTGACCACAGGGTGAAGAATTCATCCCTCACTATAAAACTTCATGGTATAATTATTTCAGAAAATTCAATGGATGTGCCTGGTATTTACCTCTTTGTTGCTAATGGATCTTAAATGTAACAGTGACTCAAGTGTCTGGTGTTCAAAAATTGTAACACAAATTCCAGATTTCTACTCTTTGTCTCACCTATTTCTATATTCTTCAGAAAGATTAATGAAAATTCTGAGAATAAGAGATTAAAGATATATTTTATGTTAATGGGAGAGAATCAATGGGTTTATATTTCAGTCAAGAAAATGGCAGTGTCATATATTCCCTGACATTTTTGTGAAATGTTCAGAAATCAGTTATCTATAGTGATGTTCCATCATAATGTAGGGGTTTCTTAGGGATGGGAATGGGAACAGCCTTATGTGACTGCTGTTGGTTACAAGGGAAAGGAATGTTCTCAAGTTACGCATGTTGACAGTTGCAAAACTCTAAATACTGTTCTATATGCTCAATTCTGCCAAACTTTTATACTTTAAAATGATGAATTGCATGATATGTAAAACCATACCTCGGTAAAGCTAGTTTAAACCGGCACTGACTTTTCCTTTAATTCAGTAGACATTTCATTTAAAGTGTCACAATTTCTTTTAAATCTAACTCAAGAAAAAAATAATTTTAATGAAATATTCATTTTCTGACTTATGCATCACAGTTTTAACATGACCTTTCTACTCTTAAATTATATAAATGTATTTTAAGTTCAGCATAAAATGCATTCAGCATAGTTTGAACAGATGGAAATTTACAAAAATTTTAGACATAGGCGATTCAGAAATACCTTAAAGAAAAAAATGAGAAATCAAAACTTCATGAAGATAGCACCAAATCCCCAAATTACAAGACCGTGATGTACGTATTTGTTGTGTAATAGAATTAGAGAGGTTAATATTATTAAAGCATTTTACTTGGTGTTCTGGTTACTGTTTGCATTTAGTTAAACTGATGCTTAAGTCCGTTAAAACATTTGCAGTATCAAAGCACGATCTTAATGGACCTCAGGTACACAGAAATGGAACAGTCATTTTTCTAATTAGAAAATTATATTCATTCGGTTGTACTAAAGAACTGTTTTTCAAACATGTATATGGTGTACTGTACGGTATTATGTGTGTTACTTTATATGAGCAGGTGTGGAAGTACTTCAGACATTTCATCCAAAATAAAACAGATTGATAGGTGTTTGTGGGCAAAATATTGCAAACCCCATTCTTCTGTTTAATTCATAATACGCTTTATTCACAAACTTTTCAAAAAGTCTTCATAGGTAAGAATTTCAAAAAGTTCCTGAAGGTAAATTTGCAAAATGTTAGTTTTGATGCAAAAATGTATTCTATACATACAAGGTGTCTGTCTACACAATAGGTGTAGACTCTTCATACATATATACAGATACATACACACACATACACACAAACAACATTCATGTTTACATTAGATTCAGTATTTGTCTAATTATGCAGAATAGTAACCTTGTATCCAGATTACTTATATGTGGCATCTTGAAGCAATACAGTAAGGATAAGTCAGCTGAATTTGGAATTCGAAGTTCAATAATATATGCAACTCTACATGATAACATATTCAGTTTATTCAGCGTTCTTTTGGGATTTATATTTCCCTACCAACACAATGTTTTACAGCCATATTCTGCTCTTTAGTGACTTTTGTGGGTCAGACAGTAAGTAATTTTAAGGGTTAGCTTTTAGGCAGAGGGGGGAGCCTGCACCCTGCGTCAGGGCACACTGCTCTTCCTGACTTAGCCTCTGGCTGCTTGTCAACACTGTCCCCTGGAGGCCGGCCGTGGTGGTGTTTCAGCCCCTTAGGTCCCTGCTGTTGCCACCCAAGTTCTAGGTTGAGTTCCTGGTTCACCCTTTTAACTTGAACCATGTCCAAATTCCCAAATCCTGACTTTACTTCTGGCATAAATTGTGGATATTGAACCAGTACGTGAGAGTGTTTCTGTTCCCTGCGCTGCTTTACAAATTCTTAAAAATAACAACTTTCTTAATTTACAATTTATGAAAATGTTATATTCATGATAATATGAATGTTTAGAATTTTGTGTGTCTGTATAAACACTGCCAAAATCAAGATAAAGGACATTTTTGTCACTCGCAAATGTGTCTTCATGTGGCTTTGTAATCAGTGTCAGATTGCCCAGACCAACCTGTTAATTTTTCAGATTTGATATATGACTGGATTTTGTAGTTGTGTGTGTGTGTGCATGTGTGAGTGAATGTAAAAGAAGAAAGGTTTTAAGAAACCACCTGGCTTTTGTAGGGCGGGGAATGGGGTTTACAGCACTACAGACTATCAGTACAACTCAAAGATGAGAAAACTAATAGAAATTGTAGCAAACACATTTTGACACATGCTAAGTATTTAAGAATTTCACCATCTCTGCGATAAATACTGATCTTTACTCTGAAAGGTACTTGAGATTTTTTTTGTTTTTTTTTGTAAAAGTCAGTACAAGGAAAGTTAAGGACTTGAAATTCTAGAAGAACTTGAAATGTCAAGGTTGTTTAGGGATGGGTGGGTAAACTCATAGGGCTTATATGGAAGCAAAGTAGACATATACATGCGTGCTTTTTTTTTTAAAGTTCCTAGATAAAATCTGGCTAAAATGAGTGGAGTTTGCTGTTTTCAGCCGGTGGTTCTCAAAAAGATTTGTATACTTGAAAAGCACAAAATGTACATTGTGTTCAGATTGTTCCTAATATATGTATGTATGAGATCAAATGCATGTTGTTAAAAATAAGCATTATAGCATAACTTTCTTTGTGTCTTAACCATATGCTTTTTCCCATGAAATGTACTGTTTTTACCATCAAACCTTTTCAATGTAGCAAACCTATGTAACTTTTTAATGCTTTATCTTAACCAAAAAATGTTGCATATATTAATGGGGTACGATGTTGTGTTTCTGTCTATGTACAATGTGAAATCATGCAGTGAGGCAAGCAAATCTTCTCAGTACACCTACTTGTTAGTTTTCGTTGTGGAAACGTTTAACATCTTCTAGTGATCTTAGACATATAAGATGGTGAGCTATAGTCATTGTGTTGTGAGAATATCAGTAAGAGCTCCACCACTGGTCTGTCAGAGCTTTGGACAGCTTGACTGCCATCTCTCCTTTCCTCACCAATGTCACACCCCACTTCTGGCAGCACCATTTTTGCTTTACTCTCTTAAAGTTTGACTTTCAGATGCCACATATAAGTGAGGCCATGTTGTTGACAAAGACAGTTTGCCACTTGGGAAAGTCTGAGTAGCATTCATTTGTGTACATGTTTCACGTTTTCTTTGTCCATTAACCCATTGCTGGACAATTAAGCTGTTTCCAATTCTGGGTTATTGTAATACTGTAGTAACCACAGGACTTCAAATACGTGTTCATGTATATTTCATTCATTTCCTTTGGTTATCTATACTAAATTGAGATTGTTGTACCACATGGAGTTCTGTATTACTCAGGAATTTTTGTACTGTTTCTGTAATGGCCATGCTAATTTACATTGCGATCAATAATATGCAAGGGTTCCATTTCTTGAAACTCTTCTCATTTTGATTTTATCTTTTGACTTTTTCATAACAGCCATTCTGCCATGTATTTATGTGAGGGTTTGTGATATTGGTCATTTTCTATGAATCTGCTGACCAATTTTTGTGCGTTGTCTTTTAGGAAATGTCTATGTAGATTATAAGGCCATTCTTTCATGTAGTTCTGTGTTTCTTACAATTGAATATTATGTTACTATATAGTAAATATGGTATATGTGATATAAATATAATATATAACATATAATATACTATACATGACATAAATTATATGATATGCTGTATACTATGTAGCATAGATTATATATAATGTATGATTCTATTTCATGATATATATGATACTATTTCATATATAGCATATAATTTTTATGTATATTAATACATAATTATAGAGTGCTTTATATATATGTGTTTATATATATAAATATACAAGGTGAACTTCTATAGATATGGGTCACCATGTTTTCTAAGGTGGCCCTGTCAGAAAATAGATAAGTCCCAAATACATAATGTCTTTTGGCCTACTTCCTGTGGGTTTTATGGACACAACACTTTTGTAGGCGTGGAAATACAGAAATCAAGAATCATCTAAAATGCTGTATGTTTGTTCCAGCAAGAATAGATTCACAGCAGGAATAACGTTTTTAAAAATATTACATGGGTTTCTTTTTCTGAGCGTTCTTGAGAATAAAGCCTGGAAATTCGGAAAATATTTTGAATCTTTAAAACGAAACAATTTTGTGCCCTTACCTACTAGTTAAAACTAACACTTCAGTGTGCAATGTGTTAGTTATTTAAACCACTAGTTACCACATTTAAATTATATCTATGTCAATATATGTGCATATTTATATATATGTATATGCTTGCTTTTTTGTTTATTTATTAACTTCAGGTTCAAATGCACTTGCCAACCTGTTTGAAAATCACTGATCTGCCTTGATATTTAATGTTAAGTATTTTTTTTTTCAGAAATAGAGCTTTTCCAAAAAAAAATAATTCTTTGTGATGTTTATAATTCTTTTTGAACACTAACTCATTTCTTCAGGTTTGCAAATTTTAAGTGAAAGCTAAAGAGAACCTTAACTTCTCTTCCCTTTTCTGACCCTGCAGCGTTTGTCTAATGGCTCTATAGATTCAACGGATGAGACTAGCCAAATAGTGGAACTACAGGAGTTGCTTGAGAAGCAGAACTATGAAATGGCCCAAATGAAAGAACGCTTAGCAGCTCTTTCTTCCCGAGTTGGAGAGGTGGAACAGGAAGCAGAGACAGCAAGAAAGGATCTCATTAAAACTGAAGAAATGAACACTAAATATCAACGGGATATTAGGGAGGTGAGTGACTCATGCACTTTCACTCTACTCAGACTCTTAGTCCCTCCGTACTTGTTTCTGCTGCTGCAAGATGCTTTGGCCATGATTCCCCAAAAAGGCATATATGCTTTACTTCTCCAAAGCCCATAATTTCAGGTGCGCTATATTAGTTATGAAACTTGTGTTTTAAGGCACAAAGTTTGTTCTGCTTTCTTTTTAAATATAGATGGAGAGAAAAATTTAAGATCCTGTGGTTGATACTTACTGAAGCTTTAGAATGTTTTTTGTAAGCTTTTAGTTTAAAACAACCATGGATATATCAATCATGAATTGTTATGCTCTGCATGTAAAAGACTACTCTATTATCTGAAATTGCCCTTTATTTGGGGTTTGCATCACAGAGTGTGAATACCTATCTGTTGGTTTGTATAAACATATGTATAACTATCTTGTTTTCTCATATTCAGTTCTTGCTAGAGTTATGATTATATTTATCTACTAAAAAGGAGAGTGCTTTAAGTAATCATAAAAAGATGCAAGGATATCTTTTCCTGTTAACTTTGTCAAATCTTATCTGATAAGGTAATAGTAAATTACCTCTTTTTCAGTTTATCAGAAGTAATGAGAAAATAATATTTGCTTATGAAAATTTCCTTTTGTGACTCTGAATTTTCCATTTTTTAAAAAAGTTTCAAAGGTGAATTTCTAAAAAAAAATTCTAATTTTATTTTTGCCAATATAAAAAGAACAGATCCCATGCATTCCATAGACTCAGCTCTAAGACGTCAGACACGCTTCCCTCACTCCCCTGCTGTTCCCCATACCTTTCCCTCCCTTCAACACTATTTGCACAATCATAATTCTAATCCATTTTATATATTCACAGGTGTAATTTGCCACTAATCAAAATATTCAACAGGTAAAAAAGACCACAAAACCACATCCCCATGGTAGTATAAGCATGAGCTAAAAATGACAATTCAATCCTGAACTGACCATTTCTGCCTTTGGGTGTTAGCTGTCATGTTAAAGAAAAAACATGATAATTGTGTCTTTGAGACTACCTAATTTCCTAAGCATAATCGTTTCCAATTGTATCCATTTTGTTACAAAATAGGATTTCATTATTTTCTTGTGGCTGGGTCGTATTCCATAGTGTATACATACCACATCTTGTCCTTTTAGTCATTCATTGGTAGAAATCTTGATTTATTCCATATCTTAGCTATTGTGAGTTGAACTGTTATAAATATCTATGTACAAATAACTGTTGTATGTTAAATTCATCTTGTTTGGGTAAATTCCAGGGAGTGAAATTGCTGGATCATATGGAACTTCTATTTTCAAACCTTTTAAGAATCTGCATAGTGTCCTCCATAATGGTTGTACTAGTTTGCATTCCCACCAACAATGGACTGGGATATTTTATTTCCCACATACTTGTCAGCAATTACTACTTCTTGATTTTCAGATGACAGTCATTCTAATTGGAGTACGGTGACACCTCATCATGGCTTTTATATGTATTTTCCTAATGGCTAGTGATCCTGAGTATTTTTTCATGTGTCTGTTGGCCATTAGTGTTTGGTTCTTTGAAAAATTGCTTGTTCATGTTCCTTGTCTCTTTCTTAACTGCATTTTTTTTTGTTTTGTTGTGAGTTTCTTGAGCCCTTTTAGATCCTGGATATTAATCCTCTTTCCATGGCACTAATTGGAAATATTTTCTCACACTGCATTTGCTTCCACTTTGTTGGTGGTTTCCCTTGCACTGAAGAAGGTTCTTAGCTTGATATAATCCTGTTTGCTTAGTTTTGCTTTAATTTTCTATGCTTCTGGAGTCTTTTCCAAGAAGTCTTTGCCTGCACTTCTGTCTTGCAGAGTTTGCCTTTTCCAGTTTTGCATTCTCATTTAGATGATGTATTTTTGCCTTTTTATAGCTTCTGTATATAATTAGCTAGTCTTTAATGGAATTGACTCTTTTCTTCCCATTTGTTGTTGAATTCCTTTTATAGCATTTTGCCCCCACTGGCCTGCTAAAAGTGTTCATGCAAAAGTTGTTACTGTTGTCTATTTTGCCCAATCTACAAATCAGTTGTTAATCTTTTGTATCTTGTGGTCTTCCTAGCAGTCTTCCCTCCCATAGAGTACTTCTGCTCTGCTACAAGCACAATATGCTTTCCCTATGGCTCCATATATACTTTCCCTAATTTACAGTTCCTTTCCTTCTTCTGCTTTCCTACCCATTTTTCTTTGTCCTGTCTTTCCTCAGTCTACCTTCTCTTCTTCAAGAAGTCCATTTAGGCTGCTGACTCAGATTGCCACCCAAACCCTACGACTCCCAGTTTAGATCTGCGGTTTATTTTTCTGTGATTTCTGAATCCTTATATCTCAGTTTAAATCTCAAAATTAATGTCTTTAAAACTATTCGATTGACATTCCACAATAGGCCTGCCTCTTTTGCAGTACTAAAACATGTGTTGGTATTGTTGTGCAAGCATTGGATCTATAGCTTTAGTAGCATTCACGGCCTATATTTGTTTTTGTGTTTGTTTTTTCTCTTTTTTATTTTATTCTGACAATCTTTACACAGTTAAATTGGGTAAAAAGGTTCAAGGTCTACAGGAAAGTGGGTAAGACTATTATTTCCATATTGTTTCCTTCTTGTATCTGAGGTAAATGGGAATCTTGAGGGAGAAGCCCCACCCAGTTTCCCACCCATCCCATGTCCCAGATATGGGGCATGCTCTGAGATACTTGCTCAGGTGGTTTTGATAGTTCACCAGTTATGGATTGCTGCCAGTCTCGCCACTCCAAATATGATGAGGTCGTTGAAGAATCCACTGATTGACTTAGTCCATCACAGATTCTCCATTTGCCCGATATTTTGCTGCCAACATATAGCTGAGATGGTTGATTGACTTGTTCTATCTTCTGCCTTTTCTTGGTTGGGGTTCTGCATCTGGCAGTTCAATTGGGGAGATCCCCAAAGAAACTTTGTCCAAGGTGTTCCCAGACCAGACTCCTGTATGTGCTAGCAAGTACAGGACCTGGGACAGTCCATCACCCCGATCTGATGGTTGTTGCAATTGCTGGGTTGGTTCTGTCTTCAGTCCCGACTTCCACCTGAACCAATGGGTGTTGCAGTCCAGCCTGGTTCTACCCAGCACATACTCGGCCCTCACATAAACCAGTGGGAGCTACAGCCTAGTTGGAACAACCTGCAGTAACCCCCACCAGGTCCCCACCTCTGGTTTGCCAGTATGTGTAGCGTGGCCTACATTTGAATCAGCAGTAAATCTGGTAGCTGTTGGTTACAGACATTTAGTTCCTTCCTTATAATTTTTGGCACCAACTTTGTTTCCACTTATTTAAAACAGTGTCACTTCCTGGGAAGGCATGATATCACCAGCTACCCCTTCTTATTCAATTAAAACAGCTATTTAAAACTAATGGTATGTGGATGTAGGTTTCAAAAGCAGTTAGATGGAAAAAGTAATTCTATGATGCCAGGTGCTCATTGCCTTATTAGAAAGTCACTCTGTTGGATGAGACACTTCCATTTGGAATTGCTTTAAAATGTAACTATTTGCATTCGCTGAGGAATTTCTTTATAGCTATGTTTGATATTACGTGAGAAACAAATCTCTCCTCAACCTCACCTGTGAAAAGAAGTGGCAAACAAAAGTGCGTGAAGTGCCAGGTGCAGGACAGTGGGAAGTGACGGAACTGATGAGACCTGGGAAAAGAGCCTCCCTGCAGCTCGCTTTGCTGAATGACAACATTTTTTTTTTTTTTCTGTACACAGGCACACACAATGCACACTATGATGGCTAATTAAAATATATCAGAACGATTTAGAACTTACGTCACACAGCCTTGGTTATTAAGGACTTACGAACAATCAACCGTATGTGGAAACTATTATAGATGTGTTATCTTTGATTTCTCTAATTCTCCATGACTACACTGTGGGGAAGGTGCTTGTTACTTTCCCTATCTGTCCTGAGAGGGGCCCGACTTTAGAGAAGTGAAGAGACCTGTGCAAGACCTGCACACTTCCCTGTAGCATGAGAAATCGAATCAGCCTGACTTAAAAAATGTGTTTCTTTCACTATGAGCCACTTACAAATCTATACAATTTAGTAAATTATTTAGTGATAGTAACTGTTATTTTTTAAAAAGCAGTAGTAATTATGCCACTGAAATAACCAATCTGTGACAATTCTTTTCAGTAACTAAGATGTGAAAATCATGTACTTTAAGCAGGTATATAATCAAATCCCAGATACTGCTCTTGTTTTCCTGAATATTAAGTTCCTAAACTACACTCACTACAAAGCCTACAGGAGCACCCTCACATGCAGAGCAAATACACTTCACGTTTTAATTACAGGATTTGGTTGTTGTTTTAAATTTTTCCTTAATTAATTCAACAGACATTTGCTACTTGTACCATGCATAAATCACACTGCCAATAATGCTATATAATATCAAGAAACTAACTTTTCAAATCATTCTAACATGAAACATGCAGTCCCATAGGCATTTCAGTGATTACAGTTTAGGATGTTATAATTCTGTAAATCAATTTTTTTTTATTTGAAAGGCAGATTTACAGAGAGAAGTAGAGACAGAGAGAGAAAGCTTCTATTTTCTGGTTCATTCCCCAAATGGCCATAATGACTAGAGTTGAACCAATGGGACACCAAGAGCGGATGACTTTTTCTAGTTTTCCCACGTGGGTACAAGAATCCAAGGGCTTGAGCCATCCTCCACTGCTTTCCCAGACCAGAAGGGAGCAGGATCCAAAGTGGAGCCACTCGGACACCAACCAGTGTCCATGTGCAATGCTGGCACAGCAAGGCAGAGAAATCGCCTGTTGAGCCGTTGTACCAGCCTGATGTGAAGTGATTTTGACCTTTTAGAAGTAGAGTGAACAGATTAAAGGGATACAGTACACATATTAGGAAAAAGAATAGACAATTGTGTCAAAGTGTCTTAACTTTAAATTTCTTAACTAAATAGGTTAATAATCTTCTGTGAATAATAATCATACATAGAAAATACATACAAATTCAAATAACTACATTTTCCAGTGGAGGTTTTACATTTTTTGTGAGAAAAAGTTTATCTTTCAAATTGCCTATTAAAAGCTCCTCAAAAATTTCAAAATGATGAAATTAATGAATGCATTTCAGTTTGATATTTTGACTACTTAGACTATGAAATTACAGTTTGGCTTTACCAGATTGTTACTAAAGCCTACATCTACTTTATAAAGTAAGGTCTAATTTATACATAAACTTAAAAGGGATCACTGACTATGAGATTTCTGCTCATTTTTTTTTGGTGGCAATTTATGGGGAGTAGAAAAATCTTACTGCTTTAAAATTTCTAAATAGCTCAGAAGAAAAGACTTGTTCTCTGATTGGAAAATTCAAAATTTATTTTTGGAAATGCAGCCTGCAATTAAATTTATTACTTCCCGTATGATTTGCTGAATCATAAATGCAATACTAAAATCATTTTTTTCTACAAGTAATATCTGCTAATGAATGAATTCAGCTGCTTGTGAATAAACAGTAACTAATATAAAATAAACTATTATTATTAAGTATATATGCCATCTGAATCATTTTAAAAACACTTATAACAGTATATCATATAATTATTTAATTCTTAATGGTTATGCTACCTGGTGGATATTAGTATTTCTCTTTTTTTTTTTGGTAGAGTTTTTTTTTTTTATTGTTGTTAACATTGTATTATGTGATACAGTTTTATAGGCACTGGGGATTCCCCCCACCCCTCTCATACCCCTCCCCCCATGGTGGATTCCTCCACCCTGAGGCATGACCACAGTTCAAGTTCAGTTGAGATTCGTTCCTTGCAAACACATATCTAGCATAAAGTCCAGCGTCTTATTGTCCAGATAAGTTAGTATTTCAATCAAAACAAAAAGGAGATGAAAATGAGATGGACAAAAGCTAATCAACATGTGTCCATAATAACAGGGTCAATAAGTAACAAAAATTGGAGTCTGGAACAAATGTGCATTGTTCCAACACTCATGGTGTTAAGAAACATATGAGAGCCTCTAACTGAATTAATTACTACTAGAACATAAGAAGTTGACATATTCCTGCTGCATTCAGAAGTTTCCCTCCAGGCTATCTTGTGACCGCCCTGTGCATCCTTCCTTGCTTCACGTGGCTGCTGAGAGCTGTTGAGTGCTGTTTGATGTCTATCTACACTGGTAGCAGTGCATCTCTAGTCCCTACCTTCCTCTTTCTTCTCTCTTTGTGTCTTCACCTTTGCTTATATTAGCATCAGTCTTTGGAACTAAGGACCTCACTCCTCTTTTGTGACCTTGTCTTGACTTCATTATATCTATAGGAGGAAACCTTATTAGTGCATCAGGTCAAAATCACAGGTCCAGCACTGACATGTATTTTTAAAGAGTAGGTAGGGAATAGATAAAATTCATCTTTCATATGCAAATGTGGAACTGTCTGCATAGAACCTGCTTTTTTTCAAGGCTTATAACTCCAATTTCATCCTAAAGTTAGGAGTGGGAAGGGCATAGAAAAAAACACATATTGAAGTTAATAAGTACTATCAGACTAATATTTAAAATTAGCTCTGGAACAGAAGACTATAGAGTAGTTATGGTAAAAATACACATCAATAATGATAGAGGTTAATGTTATTAAATGGGAGTAGGGGTAAAAGAGTTTTCAGGGATGATCCTAAATTTCTGTGGAGATTAGGACAGCATTATCAATTTTATGGTATATGTGCCACTTTATTCATTCATTTATTTAGTTAAAATTTTATTTTTGATGATGTTTACATAGTTGAGAAAGATGCATACCCATGTAGACCACTGATTAGTGGGAAGGGCCGAGGGGTAGGGGAAAGTGGATGAGATGATTTGCTTCCAATTGTCTTTTTCTTCTTCCTCTATCTGGGAGAAGAGTACAGAAAAGGTGAGAAACTGCATTAAGTATCCTACCACATCTGTACCCAGGAATGGAGGGTGGCCATCCAGTGTCATTCCAGGGTCCCCATTGTAGAGCATGCTCCAAGGATTATGCTCAGATGGCTACAAAATTTCTGAAATGCTGTTTATTTCGTTGATCCAAGGATAAGGAAATCCTTCCAAGGTCCATTGGCTAACACAGTCCACCCTAGAATCTGCATTCACCCAGATACTTGTTGTTAATACATGGCTGGGAGAGTTGCCCATTTTGTTCTGTCCTCCATCCTTTGCTATAGTGCTAGATGTCCTCTGCAGGCCCCAATAGATCGCCATATCCTTTATGTGCCTCTGGGCATGCTGTCCACTGCACTGTCTTCAATGACTGAGGAGGCTCAGTTTTGATTCATAAACTCCATGGTCAATCCACAGGTTCTGCGATTCTCCCCATAGTTGGAGCTCTGAGTCCAGTGGTTCAGTTGAGGGTTTCCAAAAATCCTCATCTGATCTGACCCCAGACCTGACTCCTGTATGCAATAGCCAGTACAGGATCCAGCTTAGTCTTTCACCCACATCAGCCTTCATACACATTGTGATTGCAGTTACTGGGTCAGTTCTTTTTCCAGCCTCATATCTTAGGCAAATTAATGGATGCTGCTACCCAGACCAATCCTACACATTAAACACTCAGCTTCCACACACATAAACAGAAACTATAGTCTAATTGGGCAACCCCCAATAGCCCCAGCAGGCCTTCCCCCAGCCCTGGTTCCTCATATGCCTTGTAGGTGCAGCATATTGGTCCAATCTGTCCCAAATCCCATTTTGCTTTTATAAACACTAATGGTTACTGCAGCCTAGGTCTGCTCAACTGACCCCACTATCCAGCCCACATTTATGGTATCAAGTGCCACCATCTGTTCAGCCAGGACTAACCCCAACCCTAGTTCTCATGCTCATTGGTGGTTGCTGCAGCCTATCAGAAAGGTGCCCACAGTTTTCCTAACAGGCCCACTTTCAGCCCTGGGTCTTGCATTTTCCAGGTGGTTCTTCAGTTTAGCTTGAAAGGACTTGCCCCCATTCCCAACTTTTGCCAGCTAATGCTGCAACAGTCTAACCAGCTTGTACTTTGGGTCCTGCATGCACCAGTGGTTATGGTTGCTTAGCCCAGCCTGGCTCTCCACCTACACCAGTTCATTTGCAGGCCAACAGGTGTTGTAAACCTGCCTAACCTGTCTGCCCCCGGTCCCAGGTCCCATGCTCAGCAGTGGGAGCAGTGACCCAACAAGGCATTCCTTGCTACCTTCCTACCAGTCTGGCATAGCCTGTTCCAACTCAGCATTTGCTGGAGGGTGCTATAGCCCAGCCCTGCCTGGCCTGCTTTAAGTCCTGGCCCTAATATGAATTGCTGGTGTTGTGGCCCAACCTGGCCTGTCCTGCACCCCATTCTGGTTTTCACATTTGCCAATGGGTGTCATCAACTGGCCCAGTCTGGCCCACCTCCAGACCTGACCCACACATATGATGGCAGGTACTATAACCTGGATCATTCTATGCTGCTCCAGGTCTTGATTCTTGCAATCACCTGTAGGGTCCGAGTTTGACAAAGGAGTTCCTGAAACTCCTTTTTTTGCAGGTCACCTTCCAGTGGCAGATCTTGTACATACTGGTGGGTACTTGGTCCAGCTTGACTTAGCCCACCTCCTGTCCTGACAGGTACAACAGCATTGCCTGACCAGCTCACTACCATTCTGGCTATTACCATTACAACAGCCTAGCCATGCCTGGTCTGCTCCTAGATCCAGCTCTCACATAGTTCAGCAGGTACTAAGATCTACCCCAGCCTGTTTTATATACACCCTAGCTCTTGTAAAGACCATGAAGTGCTGGAGCCTAGCTCAGTCTGGCATACACTACACCCATGCTAAGATATACTACAACCTTGTCCAGCCCAGTTTGGCATCCCTAATCCAGCACTCACACTCACCAGTGGGAACTGCAGCCCTGCCAAGTCATCCTCTTAGCTCCTTGACCAGGCTTCTTCTCAGTCACAGATCTTGCCCATGCTGGTAGTTGCTCTAACCCAGCCCAACACAACTGATTGCCTGCTTTGGCTTTTGCCATCAGATACTACAACCTGAACTGCCCTAATCCACCCCCAATTCCATCTCTCACTGGTAGGTACTGCACTCTAGCCCTGTGCAGTCCACCCCAGTCCCTGGCTTTCATGCAAACCAGTAGGTATTACAGCCTAGCCTAGCATGGGCATACTCCATCCTGGCCCCAGCACATGCTAGTTTGCTAAGGTTCGGCCCAGCGCTACTGAATCCACCCCAACCCACTCCACCCCCACTCAAACCAGTCCACACACTTAGTGACAAGTGGAGCAGTCTTACCTGGCCTGACCAATATCCAGTTCTGACTCATATGCTCATGATTATTAGAAAGTAGAAAGCTTTTGGTTAACCCATGATGAAAGAATTCTGGCTGATAAGTTGAATAGACTCACAGAAACTCTTGCATTTCTTCTATTAAATGAATGAGTACTAGTTCAAGAAAACCATAACGTTTATCTTTTTCACCTAAAGAATAGGACAAGAATGTAAACCATCAGATGATCCAATTTGAATTATTGCTATTTTAATTGTAGGCAATGGCACAAAAGGAAGATATGGAAGAAAGAATCACAACCCTTGAGAAGCGTTACCTCAGTGCTCAGAGAGAATCTACCTCCATACATGACATGAATGACAAACTAGAAAATGAGTTGGCAAATAAAGAAGCCATCCTACGGCAGGTTCAGTATCTCCATTCTGGTCTGTATATGCGTATGATCACCACACTCTCATACATCATGGAATAAATAAAAGGATTTCTTAGCAGATGACTGTCTCATTATCGTCTAAAATTTAAAATGGCAGCAAATCAACATATGCTAACTTTCAATGTGCATTTCATCCTCTAGAGGACTAAAAAGGTATTTTTACTAGTAAAAAGATAGTAAATATTGTTTACTTTTTATCTAGACAAGACATAGAAATTGAACTGCACTGTTTACAACATTGGTTCATTTAACTCTAGCCATCACCAGTAAGTAGGTACATTTATTGTACATAGGACAGAAGTTTTGAAGCATGGACATCTTCCAAAAATAGCCTATTGAGTAAATTATAGGACTAGTAATGTAAACCAAGTTTATTGAACTATAGAAAATGTAGGCACCATATCTGACTGATTTGGCAGAATTTGAATAAACAGAATTGTTCCCCTGTGCCTCAACATTGTCTAATCCTGCTTTTTCTGTAGAATATTCAGAACAGAGATCATATCGTACAGAGCTTCCACCACTGCTTCCCCCTATCTTATGACAGCAGTGCAGTCCTTCATAAACCATCCTAAGTCCATCATTCTGCTATTTCAGTGCATCCTGACATTGTAGGTACGGACAGTGGCAGAGAGTCCAGCATCCTCTTGTCAAGATATATTTAACAGTTTCATTGGGTTTCCATCTTTGATTTGAAAGTAGGGAGGCATACTGCATTGCATCCTCACATCTGGATATAAGAGTGCCTATTACACAGTTACGATGCGTCCCATTAAACGAAAAGCCACAAAGCAGAATCAACAGAAAAATATACATTTTGTTGTCCCAGTACAGATCAAGTCTAATACTGAACTGCATTCCATTTTCCCAATTCATACTTATTAGAAATTTTATTTCTAAGAAATGAAATTTTTTGCTAAGAAATTTCATTTCTTTTTGCTAAGAACTTCTCTAATTTTAGTGTGATGATGTTACTAAAGGAAAGGCACACATACTACATGGCGACAGCATAAGGGCATTGTCACTTAGCACATCCAAATGCGGTAGCAGCTGATTCTGTCTAGAATTGTGGCTGAGGTGTGTCTACCCTACCGACCGGACGGTGATGTTGCTCCTTCCCCTGGCCTTGTAAGTTTCTCTGTGACTGTTGTTATTTCAGATGGAAGAGAAAAATAGACAGTTACAAGAACGCCTGGAGCTGGCTGAGCAAAAGTTACAGCAGACCATGAGAAAGGCTGAAACCCTACCTGAAGTAGAGGCTGAACTGGCTCAGAGAATTGCAGCCCTAACCAAGGTACTACACTAAAACAACACTCTGTCAACCCAGAGGCAGAAATCACCGATCGTTAACATGGAATTCATGAATGTTCTTTAGGCACAATGTATGTTAAGTTTATCTAACCTTCACGTATTTGTACAATATTTAATGGCTCTTTTTCTTACTGCATATGTTTTATTCCTCATCAAGTGATTGCTACAGTCAGATGGATGATCTGGCGGCCTATTTAAACCAAACAGAATAAACTTTCTTGTCTTTGTTATGGTTAATTTTCACAATATTTTCATGTAAGAATAATCATGGTGATAAATATGTACATGTGAGACCTAAAAATTTCTCAGACTTCACATGAATATTTTGCCATTAGAAGCATAGGTAAATAGTTACAGTATTTTAAAGTATGTTAAGTTACTGTAGGCTAAGCTTGCTAGAAGTTAAAAACTAAGATTGCAGATATCTAAAGCCGTTAAATACCCAGAAAACAGTTTTGTAATTTATTCTGAGAGAAACATGATCAATATTTCGCGAAAGTTCAGTATTTTCCTCAGGTGTGTATCTGTAGACTATCTGTATATATTTCAGTGTTAGAAAACCATTATACTATTAATGGATTATCTGATGTATTTCAGTTTAATGGAAATAGTATTGATTCAAAATGTACCTCTCTGTGTATAATGTATGTATGTCTTTATGTTCTTAGTATGAAAGTCCTGATTTTTGTCAATAATAACAGCATGTTTGACTTCATATTAATGCAAAAAGACATACAAATTTTAGATAATCACATAGTCATCGGTCTTTTCTTACTTTTTAAAGGCACTGTAAGAAATGGGTCGAGTAATTATGTAAACAAAAAAATTGTAAATGTTGGCTTTAGGGATTGTCCAGCACAGTGGATGCAGCAGTGCAGAAGTAACACAAACACACACATGCACCTGCCTGCTCTCATACCCCTGCAGTTCTAAGATGCAGATAACCATGTGTCTCTTAGCATGCCCAACAACAGGGTTTCACCATTGAGTCTCATCTTATGCACATCATACATCTGCCTCTCCTACCCCCTGACCTTCAGGAAAATGCCGATTTATCTACGTATTGGTTAAAGCAGAAGAACTAAGCAGATAGTGAAAAAGCCATGCAGTTGACAAAGTAAAGCAAGATCAGGAAGCATTGGAAGAGCTGGCTTTCTGTAGAATTCTGGAGTAACCAGTGACATAGAGTATTAGTCTGAGATTTGGATCATTCTGTAGCCACAGAATAGGCCATCTCCGTGACAACTTCACAAATGGCTGATTTCTAAGACAAAAATGAATTGACCACTTAATTTGAAAAATACTGCCTAAATTATGGATAGCAATCCAAACATGTTACTAATACTAAATATTTTTTCTTGACAACACCAATTTAATATCTGTAACACGAATTGTAATATGCATCTTTAGGCTTACCACTTGAATAACTTGAAGAGTTTTTAAAGTGTTGTCTCACTGATTTTCACTGTTTTCAGGGGAGTTAGGTGAGTGACTAAATAAGAAAAATCAACGTGTAAAATTTTAGTATTAAATAATCATCAACATTATCCTAAATAAAATAACAGAAAGTATGAATTCTCTCCAGAGAAGCAATTTAGAATTCAACAAATATTTGGTAGACTCAGAATAGAATATTACTAAGATAATATATTGGTTTATAGGGCTTTAGGATAAAATTCCTGAGGGTATTTGACTTAGAATATTCAAAAAATCACTAAATGGCATGTGTTAATACCTGTTTCTTTTTTATTCTCTTGAACTATTTTGATATATTATTTGTGAATCTCCCCCCCAAAATTCTTGATTTTCTCTTATTACCAACAATCTGTTTTTCTCTAACACTTTAAACTTTTATTTGGTCAGAAATTTTTTATTCTTCTTAAAAACCTTCAAATTTTTAAATTCATTTTCCTTCATTGTCCCCATCTTATCTTTTGAATGATTCAGTATCAATAACATATTTCAAACAAATAATTTGATATTGCCACAAAATTTAACTCATAATACAAACTTAAGTGCTAAGATTTTATACTGGACTTATTTCTCCCTCCACTATTTTAAAAAAGATTTGAGGGCCCAGAGCGGTAACCTAGCTGCTAAGGTCCTCACCTTGCAAATGTAGGGATCCCATATGGACCCTGCTTCATATCCTGGCAGCCCCGCTTCCCACTGAGCTCCCTGTCAGTGGCCTGGGAAAGCAATTGAGAACAGCCCAAAGCCTTAGAACCTTGCACCCATGTGGGAGACCCAGAAGAAGCTCCTGGCTTCTGACTTCAGATGTGCTCAGCTCCAGTCATTGCAGCCACTTGGGGAGTAAATCAGATGAAAGATATTTCCCCTCTGTCTCTCCTCCTCTCTGTGTTTCTGCCTTTCCAATCAAAATAAATCTTTTTAAAAATAAGATTTGAAAAATCACTCTTTTATTTCTTCTGCAAATAATTATCGCTTGTATATTTTCTTGTTTTCTGTTCTCAAGAACTCTGGATTCTCAGTAAGACTGTCTCATTTTTCCTTTCAAATTTGATTTTTAATATCTCACTGTTACATGATGATAATATTCGTTTTATGTTTTTTAACCTTTTCTTAGTAATCACAAAAATAAAGGAATTTCTTGTTATCTTAAAACTAGGGTCCAAATATCATGTTTAACAATCATTTCAAATATTTTATTTGGGGTATGTACTATAGGCAACTATATTTTTCTTTTTTTTGCAAGGGCTCTCTTTAATTTCTTCTGTTTCTGCATATTTCCCTCCTGTTGTCAAAACTATTTTATCATATAAGATACTCTAAAACTCCAGCTCATTTGAATTGCTTTATTTCAAATTTTAGAGTAAAATCAAGATTAATCCAGTTTGCTATCAAGAAGCATAAACATTGCAGACAGTTCCCTAAGGATCCTTGTATTTATATCAAGTGATGCTCTTGTAGTCTTCACAAAGCTAACTTTAACATATGTGAGTGGTGTTGGTTGAGAATTTTCTACTATTTAGAAATTATATCTAGATTTATCCTTTGCTTAATTTTCTCCATTGTGTGTGTGTGTGTGTGTGTGTAGTAAATGTGTAGATAGAACACATTCCAAAGATTTTGGAAAGTCAAAATTGTTAATGCTCATAGATGCAACTGAAATATCACTGTAGAAATTCATATGCAAGTGAAAAAGATTTATTCTGGACTCCAGATTTTATTATTTCTTATGCCTATTTTTATATTAAAATGTATAGTCCTTCAGCAAGAAATAATTCATCTTGGTTTCCATGATGAATTTCATTTATTTTTAATGCCAGTAAAAAAAAAAATAGCAGCAGTAACAGTAATGAAAGAATTTTTGCCTTATATTTTGAGTTAATAAAATAATATTTGGTATGTTTCTAAGTGTTAAGACTAAAAGAGGTAGAAATCTTAAAGACAATAAAAACTTATATTTTTAAAAGTGCTGACTGTTGAAAAATTCATAACTTGATTCTAATAACACTATGTGACTATTAACATGTAGCTTAGAGATATAACTGTTCATGAATTTATGAATTTAAACTATATATCTTCAATAGTATTTTCATACATTTACTGTGTTTGTAACAAAACTCTGTTTTAAATGATATTATAAAGCCATTATGCTATTTAGAGATCATGCTACTTTTACTGTTGAATCAGCTTGAAATTTGTGGAAGACCTGGCAAAGAATTGTTTTCATTTCTTCATTACATTCCATATTTGTGCAATTAGGATGTCAGGAAGTCCTATGAAATGTAATTATTAAGTTTTACGTTTAATATGCATACAAGATTTGATTTTGAATATTTTGTCAATTAAATGTAAAAATTTTGCATGAAAATAGTACACAGGTATGACTCAGTACATGAATAGATTATTTACTGTAATTACTTGACATGTTCTATTGTCATAATTTGCATAAGCAATGAACTATTTTAGAATGCATTTAGAAAATGTGATAGAATATATTTTAGAGATAAAATGCATCTTGCAAAAGGTTTCTCTGATGATGTAACTATTTATGATTAAAATTCTGGTGAATCATTATATGCTATCTGTGCATAACATACTAATATTATTCAGCTTTGGAGTGGACCAAATGAGTTCACCAATGAATTTTCTTGCCCTTACACCATTATTGTTGCCGTAATAGTTTTCATTTAAAACTTCAATGAAACTTACATCTGAGAATAAGCTGTTGATTTCTAGGCCAATTCTCATTGTATTCAAAGACCAGAAGTCATCTCATAGTTCATAACTGTTTTGGAGGGAAGATCAATGATGCTTGAATTGGGGAATACTCATAAAAATAAATCATTGGGCTTAGTTTTTAGTCTGATTTCTACAGAGCAAGAGTTATGATCAATTTTATACCAAATTTATTCAATGAGTCATTGTCTAACATACTCCTTCACATCGGAAGTCAGTCTCTATTACTTTTGTATGATAAACAAAGCAAAACGTAATACTTTTAAAAATCTATGAGACATATTCTAGTGTTTGGTTTCTCATAATCCCAATTATTACATGACTTTCAGTGTTGCTTCAATTCACTCTGTAATAGTGTTTCATTGCCCGCCATCACTAACTTTCCATATTTAGGTTAACAGCTTTTTGTTTTAACATATCATTGACTTTGATTTATAACCATCAAGTGCATCATATTCACCAGATGTCATGTGATTTCCAAGTAAATTTCTATTAAAGTATTAAATTTGTTGTCACTTTTCTTTTAAGCATTCTGTGCTATGTTCTGTTCAGTGTGTGTCTTTAGTTCTGATTTTTCAATTTTGTCCCTTTCCTTTTCCTTGACCTGTTAGTCTGATCCAACCTCTTCTACCTCATCTGATGATTATCAATATGTTATGGAAGCTAAACTACAAGAAATGATCTCCATACGTAGGAAGGTAGTCCTACTGGACTTTACTTTCTATTGCTAAATAGAATCCATCTAAGTTTTTATTTTCATTTATAAAAATTTTGTTACTTTTGTTTATTGATAATCGACCATCTGTGCAGTTCAGTGCTTCAGGAGCTTAAGATTGGACAATGGCAGGTTTGTGTTCAAACCATGCACAGTTTGCATGTTACATTTGGCTGATTTCACTGCTCATAAACAACTCCAGTGTTTTGCTGATGCTTGGATGTAACAGGCCCCTGTAGCTGACACATTTCAAGCAATGCTGTTCAGCTGCCTGTTTAAAGAAAGTTTATTTTTTGAAAACTATGTTTGCAATTGGTAGTAGCTTGCTTTACATTTTATTTCAATTTCTTTAGAGTTGTGAAAAGAGTTAATCAGATCTTCCATTCCAGATGCATTCTTCATATTCCTTAACAGGCTGAAGAGAGACATGGAAATATTGAAGAACGGATGAGGCATCTAGAAGGTCAACTGGAAGAAAAGAATCAGGAACTTCAAAGAGTATGTACAGTTAATGACTCGCCTTGCCTCCAACTGCACCACAGTGTTGGCTCGTACCTCGGTTATGACAAGAACACCTTTTGAATAGTGGGCTAGATTTGGAGTCTTATGGACACCCTACTCATTTAAAAAAAAAAAACAAACTTTCTAACAATTTAAAATAAAATTAAATCCAATTTAAAACCAATAGATTTTTGAGAACAAGCTTGCAGAATCTTTTTTGTTGTTGTTCCTTTCTTATCTGTTTTTATTTACTTTTCCTCGATAAAAGGCTAGGCAAAGAGAGAAAATGAATGAAGAACATAACAAAAGATTATCTGATACTGTGGACCGACTTCTGACTGAATCCAATGAACGCTTACAGCTACACTTAAAGGAAAGAATGGCCGCCCTGGAGGAGAAGGTAAAAGGGCAGAGTAGAGACTTGCATGTGTGTTTAGCAATGTTCTTGTGATGGTGCTCGTTTTTACTGTTCTACCCATTGCTTTGATCAAATAATCCTTTACCTTCCCGACTTAAAAGAGTCTGATATAATCTTAGAAATGATTGATTTCCATAAAAAACATGTATAGAATGAGCTCCTAATAAGAATGCTTGATTATAAATCTTTCATATTACCATGGTCAAATAAGACAAATATATGACGTATTTGTCTTGTATTTGGTAATGAAAATACCTTTCTCCTATACAGAAGAGTCATGAGGCAAAAAAAATAAGCGTGTGGGGGTTAACTGATATCTTGCTTTGGACTATTTTTAGCATGACTAATATCTACTGTCATTCAAAAGCCAAACTATGAGTAAGTTTACATCATCAGCAGCACTACTACAAGTGCCTCTGGCGAGTTCAGGAACCCAATATTTTTAGCTGCCCTGTTACAAAAAGCAGAACAAAAACAGGCTTCCCTAAGTTTACCACTTGATTTGTGATTACATATATGTTTTAGTCATAGTTGGCCTGACCATCAAGATGTGTGAGCCAGAGCAATTCCAGAGCATTACTGTTGGTAGGGACTAAAACCCAGGCAGACAAATTATTTTGGAAATTTAAATTTAGTGGCAGTTTTTACTTTAACTAGACATTCTCTCCTGACACACAAAAACGATCAAAATAAGAAAATAAAACAAAATGGCGATTGATTTACCCATTATGAAACCCTAAGACATGTTTTTTTTTCTCATGTAACTCCAAAAATAAGACTACCATGAAATTATTACACCATTTAAATTTAGACCACAGATTTGAAACCACTGCATTATTTTAAAAGCTATTTTGTAATATTATAAGAAAAATACAAACTTTTGACAACACTGACATTTTTATAGCAAGGATTCTTTCAGTTAACCCATGATGCAAGTTATTTTCACATGCCTTTATTACCTGTAACATTGGTTTCTGATTATCTAAAATTTCATTCTTATTTCTCTGATAATTCATCTGTTATTAAAAGTTGCTAATTTTGTATTTGAAAATAGATATTTACAAGTGAAATCTTAAAATCTTAAAATATTTAATATGTTAATTATGTATGCATTTTTCTTTTTATAGAATGTGTTAATTCAAGAATCAGAAACTTTTAGAAAGAATCTTGAAGAATCATTACATGATAAGGTATTATGGACTTGTACATTTAAAAAATTTTTTCAGTTCTGCACTGATGAATATTTTGTTTTAAAATGAATCTGCTAAAGATTAATTTTCAGATGTCATCCATTTGAAGCATATCTAACTAGTACATCATGCTTAAGAAAAGTGTAGGTATATATAGAGAGAATTTTTTACACAAGTTTTTATAGTCCAAACACTAAAAAGAATCTCAATTTTAGAAACTTCCCTCACTTTAGCATAAAATCACCACTGTTCTTTCTAAGATAATACCTATTTTGGCTTTTAACATGATAAAAAATTGTCTTGCTTTATGATTTATGCAAATGAGAAAACTACCTATTTTTGCATCATATTTCGGATAGGTGTATTGAGTAGATATTATGTGTAAAATTTTGAGAAGTTAGGTGTTTTCAAACATAATAATCATTTAAAAGTAGCTATAAAATCTGAGTAGAGAGAACACACAGTTATTAGATAATAAGGATACGGGGTAGAGGTGCTAGTGAGGATCAACTGAGTCAGGGAGGCAATAAAAATTGCCAACATACAAGGCTGCTGAAGACATCAGTGAGCAGGCCTTGGTTGGCTCAGCAGGGGGCAGAGACCTGGCCTAGCCTGTCCTATACCAACCCTGGTTCTCATGAGCACCAGTGGGTACTGGATTCTAGCTTAGTCTGGTGCATCCCATAACCCACATACAAGCCAAAGGATTCTGCAGTAATACCCAGACCAGACTGCAGCCCCCATCCTTGCCGTACAGCTCTCCAATGAGGATCACAACCTGGCCAGGGTGTCCCCCTTGCTCCCCAGCAAGGCCTGCTCCCCTCCACAGATCTCACAGTGCTTGCCAGTGCTTGTTCTGTCCCAGCCTGACATAGCCCCCATCCATTTTAGCCTTTGCCTTTGGATGCTGTAGCCTGGCCTGATCTAGCCAGCCCCCAGTCCCAACTCTCGCTGGCAGGTGCTGCAATGTGACCCTGCTCAGTCAGTTCCCATCCCTGGTTCATGTGAACCAATAGGTGTGATACCCTAGCTTGGCATGACTTGCACTCCAGCCTGGCTTTTGCACTCACCATTGGGCTGAGAGCTGCTCAGCCCTATCTGGTCTGCCCCTTCCAAAACCAACCCAGACACTTGTCAATGGCTGGAGCCACATTGCCTAGCTTGCCTGATCCTTAGGTCTGGAACACATGTTCACCAGTGGGAGGTAGGGGAGTCTCCAGGTTCCCCACTCAACCCACTCACAGACCCAGATCTCGCATGTTCCAGCAGGTGCTAGGCCCTTGCTTGGCATAGCCTGCCCCTCCATCTTAGCCTTTGTATGAGCTGGTAGATGTTGCGGCCCAGCCCACCCTACACCCTGTTTTAGGATGCACATGCAGGTGCTGCAGCTTGGACCTGCCCAGCCTATTCTCAGTCACAGTACCCGTGAATGTTGGCGGGCCCCATGTTCACACCTAGTTCAGCTAGTCACCACCCCAGCTCTTGAGCTAACCAGTGGAAGTTGTATTTTCATAGGTTTGGGCCCACTTCTCCCCCACAGAATCTACCCCTTGGCCTGTTTCTTTAGAATAACACTTTAGCAAGCTCTTGGAGACTAACATGATATTTACAATTAGAAATGGGAATGGCATTCTATATTGAGGATGTCTCTTATACAACAGCACAGAAAGAGCAAAGAAGATTAAATCTTTACAAATTTTCCATCACGGATATGTGTTTAAAAAAAAAAAAACAATTTGGGCAGATTGTGAATTTGGGACTTGGTATTGTTATGCTGTGGGGTGTTATCCAAAGTTCTGTGTGCTCCTGGCAAGATTCCCCAGAACCCACTCCCCCACCCACAACTCAGACCTGGGAGCTGGAACAATCTGTGCCAGCTGTCAGCACTCCTAACCAATTCACACTCTGCAAAGTTGTCATGCTCATCTTCAAAGAGCACACAGGCTAGTTGGGACCTCGTTTCTGAACTATCATCGCATAGAGCTGAACACATTGGTCTGGTGATACCTCTTTCTCCTCAAATCCCCACCCAATTATCTTGAGTGTCTCTCAACAGGCAAAGCCCCAACCTGCTCAAGCTCTCCTTTCAGTGTTTCTACCTATCAGGTACATTTCTCAAACGTGAAGTTCCTGGAAGTATCCATGTACCTCTTCCCTCTGTTCAGCACCTGGTGGCCTCCTCTAATCTCATGAACTTAAAAACCATCTACACGTAGAGCAGTTCTGAATTTACATTAATTACCGTGTGCTCAAATGTGAGGGACTTCATAAATTTTTTTGCAAGCTCGTTATTGCAATTTTATCTCAAATTTGACATATTGGTTTCCCTCTTCAGAGTTCCCTGAAAGTACTACCATCTCCTGAACTAAGCACCTTCTGCAGCATTTTGCCTCAGAAAATGCTAACTTTGGGGCTGGCATTGTGTTTCAGACAAGCCCTGTGATACACATATCCCACACAAATGCTCACTTCAGTCCTAGATGCTCCAGTGCCAATCCAGCTCCCTGAAAATGCACCTAGTAGAGCAGAGGAAGATGGACAATGCTGCAGACAGGGGCTTGGCCCACTACACCAGAACACCAACCCCTATAGATGGATCTCTTTTAAAAGAATATCACAGCTGTAACTTCGTTCAGTTACTCAGGTTAAAAAATCTTGGCAATGTTTTTGATACCTACATTTATTTCACACCCCATGTCTAGTACAGTAGCAAGTCCTGCTAGTTCTATAGAATTTGTCACAGTCTAGCCATTCTCTCCCTGATATCATTTCAATTAAGACATTGGTTTTTTGCCTGCATTTTAGCAATATGCATAGTAATTCTCTTGCCTATGTCTAAACTCATCTCAGTTTATTCCTCAATCATTAGAATTATCTTGTAACTGCCCTATTCAAAACTCTTCTAATCATTTTCTGTCTCACTCAAAGTACAGGTCAAAGGATTTAAGATGGTTTGCAATGTCTTGTAGGACTCTCTTCCTGAATCCTGTAGGGATCTGTTTTCCTCAATTCATTCCTCCTTTTTTCCATTAGGCACATTGGCCTGTGCTCCCCATCTCATCAATGCACTTCCTCTGAGGCATTTACTCTTCCATTATTTCTAGATGTGATGCATTTTCTTAAGATATTGTGTTTTGCTTCCCTGTCTTTTCTTTAGGTCTCTACTCAAATATCACTATATCAAATAAATACCCCCATGATTCCACTATTTTATCCTTCCTAATACGTCCTGTAGTCACCATGTCCTGTCTGCATCTTGCTCACCTTCCCTGCAGATTGTAAACCACACAAGAGAAGGAAATTTGTCACTTCACTGCTTATCAGTGGCTGTTAACAAGAGGAATTCAGTGTGTTTTCTCTGTGTGTATATAAATGATGAACAAATGAGTTAACAAATCCCAAAGGAACTACTGAATATTTTTACACAACATTTATTGGATTGCATATCTGTTTTAAATATGATATGACAGCTAAATAATTTATTCAGAAGAGATAGATGCTGATTAAATAATTCTTTTAAAAACATAAACATTTAGAGTAGGATGGTGGTTATGAGAATAAAATCATTAGGTATGAACAATACTGAAAAGACCATGCTGAAACTGTGCTGAAAAAAGGAGTATGAATGAAGTAAAATGTAGAGCACTGTCCCTTGGGAAGGGGAAAATATAAAGGGAAAATCTGGAGGGGCACCTTCAAACATTTACAACCACTGAACATTGTAATTATTAAAACAAAAAAGTTAATGATAGTAATACTTTGCAAAATCTTCAGCGGGAAAGGAGAATGTTTTGTGTGTCATTGTCTTGTTTACTTGGTACATGGTAGCTATGCGTACTAGTTTTTCAGATCTGTGCATTTTAATCAAAACATTTTGACTGAAAATCCATCACAGAATTTTTTGACCCATTAAAACAAACTTTAATGAGAAAAAAGGCAAAAAGAGCATTTAGGATTAAGGCTTAACTCACAGCCTCTATTCTTGTAAATGTACAGGCTGAAACTAATATTGGCTAACATGCAAAGATTGTCAAAAGTACAAATAATTGTACAAGTTAACCTGATAATCACATTGTTATGTCTGGTTTTAAAGGTGCTAATCTTATTCTTATCTTTTCTGTCCTGTTCTCTTTCTCCTTAACCCACACAGCCCTCAAACCAAGAATGATGAAAATGTTTTGTTTACTACATTATACCCTTTTCTGTGTTTAAAACTAGATGTGGGTCTCCACTCTGCATTTTGAAACAATGTCTACTTCACTAATTCTGGCTTTAATACTCAATAAATGTTCAACTGTTTATTGTTTGTGAATGCTAGAGAGTATAGGTAATTTTTAAAATTTCTCTTTACATTTCATTACTGGTGAAAAATTCAGGAATATCTTACTGTCATATCTAGTCATCTCCACTAAAAATATATGCCAGTTTTCCCTCTTAAACTACTCATTAAACTTGATTTATCATAAAGGAATGTTATTATAATGATTGGCAAATATCTGATTACCACGTTTTTGTTGTTGCTTTCCAGGAAAGACTAGCAGAAGAAATCGAAAAGCTTAGATCTGAACTTGACCAACTGAAAATGAGAACTGGCTCTTTAATTGAGCCCACAATGTCAAGGTAATTTTAAATTGAAAGTTTATTTTAAATATCCACTAAGAATCTTTTTAAAGTCCTCAGAGTTTCTTGCGTCCTCAGCTAAAATAAATAAATACTTCCTATTGCTCATAAGTCATCATCGATTTTTTTTAAAAAAATGTATCCAATTCAAAAATCAGAAAGACAGAGAGAGACAAACCAAGAGATTCCATCCCCTAGTTTACTTTGTAAAGTTCTGTAGTGGCCTAGGCTGAACCAGGAAGCCTGACTCTCCATCCAAATTACCTATTTGATTGGCAGGAAATCAGCTACTGAGCCGTCACTTCTGCTTTGAGGGTATTTGGTTGTGGGAAGCTGGAATAGGATCTGGAGCTGGGAACTGAACCCAGCATTCCAGTACGAGATGTGGACAGGCATCTTTTTTAAGGGGCATAGACAGAAAGTGAGAAAGAGCTCTCATCCACTATTCTCTTTCTCAAATGCCCACGATGGCTGGAACTGGGTCAGTCAACCTCAAATGTCTACACTCATAAAACCAGTTTCACTTTCGAATTAAGAGCTCCATAATGCAGACACCTTATTATAGTCTGCATGTAATTATATAGGTAGAAGTGTATAAAGAAGTTCTTAAATGAAGTAATTGAATTGTGCATATGTAAGTTTCAGTTCATTCCAAATGGCAGCAGGCCTTTCCTCCTATGAATGCAATGCACAAATGCTATTCTGTACACATATTCAGTGCAGAGGCATGCTGGAATGAATCCAAAGGGTAAGTGACCAAACAAATGTTGATTACAGTCATTTGGCATTTGCTAAATATTTGTTTAAAGTAGAATGTAAAAGCAGATGAAATGTTTGAGGTATTTGTTAAAGTAGTTAAAGATGAAAGAAAAATACACTTATAGATAATACATTAAAATAAATTTAGCTACATCTATATACTTTGATTTGTTACCTCACCTTAAAAGTAGCATCAGTTGCTTCAAGAAGGTTTTTATTTTCTTTTTCATTTCTTTAGCAATATGTAGGTCATTCTGTAGCATGTTATTGTAACTTCCCATTGCTGTAAATTTTCTGCCTTCCATCCTGTTGTTGACTTGGTTTAATGGCTTTGTTTTTAAAGCGATATATAGTAGCTGTGTAATAGGGACTGTGATAACCAGATGTGAGGTTGCAGTGCAGTATGCGTCTCTACTTCCAAGTCAGAGAGGACTCCCACTGAAACTGCTAAATATATATTGACATGGGCCCAGCGGCATGGCCTAGCGGCTAAAGACCTCACCTTGAACACACCAGGATCCCTTATGGGTGCCGGTTCTAATCCTGGCAGCTCCACTTCCCATCCAGTTCCCTGCTTGTGGCCTGGGAGAGCAGTCGAGGACGGGTCAAAGTCATGGGTCCCTACACCTGTGTGAGAGACCTGGAGGAAGTTCCTGGCTCCTGGCTTCAGATCGGTGCAGCACTGGCCATTGCAGCCACTTGGGAAGTGGACCATCAGATGGAAGATCTTCCTCTCTGTCTCTCCTCCTCTCTGTATATCTGACTTTCCAATAAAAATAAATAAATCTTTAAATACACACACACACACACACACACACACACACATACACACAATAGGATGCTGCGCGCTGCCATTGTCCATACCTACAATACAAGGATACACTGAAATGAGAGAATGATGCACTTATGAATGAAGAACTAAGCATTGTGATAGTAGAATGCAAGACAGTGAGGGAAGTAGACTTGCAGAGGGTGGAGAGCAAGGGGATATCCCAGAGCCTATGGAGCAGTATCATAAAATAATAATTTAAAAATTAAAAAAGAAAAACAATAGACAATTAAATGATTCTTTACTCAGAAAAAGACCTTGGCTAATAATTCACATATAATTGTCTTTTGTGATTAAAACCTTTACTTGAAGCTATTAAGAGACTCTGCAAAGGGCCAGCATTGTGACATGGTAGGCTGAGCGTCTGCCTAAGGCACGAGTTCAAGTCCCAGGTGTTCCACACTTGACCTAATTCTCCGCTAATATTCATATAAAAGAAAATGGCACAAGTACTTGGGTCCCATGACCCATATGGGAGACTCAAAAGAAGCTCCTCGCTGTGGCCTAGCCCAGCCCTGGCAGCTGCAGCCATTTAGAAAGTGAACTAGTAAATGGAAGACCGTCTATTTCTATTTCCATCTCTGTCCTCCCATCCTTATAATTCTGCCTTTAAAATTAAAAAGAGAGACCCTGTAAGGATTCACACATTTAATCATAGGCAACGCAGTATTATCAGCAGTCTGACACCTTTGATTGCCACAGGCTTTGGAAAGTAGTCCATTTTATTTGTGTTTATGAGATGTGAGATTGGAGCAATTTTCAAAACATAGACTCCTAGGGAATAGAAACATATCTTAAAAAGATAAGCGTGATATGTTTTTTCTAATTTGTGATAACTAATATAGAGTGCAAGGAAAAGTAATAGGAGTAAAATTAACAGTTTGAAATTTGATTGTTACATATAGTTCTTTTCCTAGGCTGTTGAGGAATACTAGTTTTTCTACTTACTTGTGGAATTATTTGTTTAGTGCAGGATTAAACTTGTGATTATTAAGTAAACTGAAAGCATATCACTGCAAAGATTAAAGAAGAAGAAGAAAGAGGAGGAAGAAGGAAGCTTGGGAGAGAAGGGGGGGTAGAGTGAGCAGTATCTCTACTTCCAAATATATAGATGTGAAATACATGAAGTTTGTTCATCTTACGTAAATGAAAAAAAAATCTTAAAAAAGAAGTGCTGGCTAAAGGCCCACCACTCCAGTGAATTAACATCACAACCTAACATATGCCTACGGTGAAGTCATCAAAAACACCCATCCAACACAATCATTGCTTTGTGCAACGTCTTATACCGACAAGACTCAACTAAAAATAACAATGCATATTCCTAGGTTTGGAACAATAATTACCACATACTTCATTTTAGAATTTGTAGAATGGATATACATGAACTATGTTGCTTATTTACTCATATAGAAAGTGTATCTGTAGAGTTTTTATGTCTTTTTAATTTTAATATTGTTTATGCAGTTGAGAGGGCTTTATTCCCATGTCGATTTCCAGTTAGTCTGCAGGGTCAAGGTGTGGAGGAGAAGGGTGGGACAAATGTTACATTTTTTTTTTCTCTTCTGTTCACTGTGAGGGAAGGGGAAGAGGCCATTCCTCGCTGTCAAACTGCATCAGCACCCAGGCAATGGGGACATGGCTTTGGTGATGCCTTAGAGGCTCCAATGTGGGGAGGAATGTTGAAGGGTATTACTCAAGTTGTTTTGATAGGTCTGGGATGTCATCAGCTTCTTTGCACCAAGGATGGGAAAATTTTTCCAAGGTCTAATACTTGGCCAAGTCTACCTTTGTGCATCACAGGCCCAGGGACATGTTGCAAAGCTTGGGCAGGAGAATGCTCCCACCTGTTCTGCTTTCCATCCTCTGAAAAGGCAGTTGATGTCCTCTGCTAGTCTAAATGAGCTAGTGGTCATGTTCCCCATGTACATCTGGGCATGTTGTCCACTGCACAGGCATCATCAACTTAAGAGGCCCAGTCCCAATACAAGCATTCCAGGGTCAGACCACATGTATTATGATTTTCCCTGTGGCCAGAGTTTGAGCCCAATGGACTAATTGTAGAGTCCCCCAAGAAACTTGGCCTTGTGTATGCCTTCCAGTGCATGGTCAGCTTCATTCCATCACCTGCACCAGTCAATGCAGATACCAGTGGATGCAGCTGCCTGGTCAACTCTGCGCTGAGACCCGTCTCACAAGAGAACTCACCAGTGCTGCAGTCTAGCCCAGCTCAGCCCGCCACAGGCCTATTCTTCACCTACACCAATGAGTGCCACAGCCTAAAGGGGCAACACCCAGAAAGCCCCACCAGGCTTACTCCCGGCTCTGGGTTTTGCACCTCCCAGTATTTGCTGTGACTCAGCCTGGCTAGTGCTGCATTCCATCCAGCTCTCATGCACACCCATAGTTGCTGTGACTTAGCTCAGCCTGAGCTGCTCCCAAGTCCAAACCACGGGTATGCCTGTGGATATTGTTGCCTTAAACAGGTGGACACTCTCCTAGCTCTGGTTGTGATGTGCATCAGCAGGAGCTGTAGCCCACAGTTCTCCTACCAGACCCACACCCAGGGCTGGATCTTACACGTGCCAGATGGTACTGCAATCTCATCTGACATGACTCACATCCAGCACTTGCCAGCAGGTGCTACTGCCTAGCCTCTCTGACCCACACATATTTGGTGTGTGCCAGCAGGTGCAGCAGCCTCGCCAAGCATGGCTCACTCCCAGACCAACTTGCTCACAGTCCAACTGTCATGCTCTACCATGGAAGCAGTGGCCTAGCAAGGGAGTCCCCACAACTACTCAATATGACCCACTCCAAGCCCCTGGTCTAGAGGGTGCCAGTGGGTGCTTATGGCCCACTCTGAAATGGTCTGCCCCAAGTCTTTTTTTTTTTAAAAAAAGATTAATTTATTTATTGGAAAGTCAGATATACAGAGAGGAGGAAAGAGAGAGGAAGATCTTCCGTCCGATGATTCACTCCCCAAGTGAGTGCAACGGCCGATGCTATGCTGATCCAAAGCCAGGATCCAGGAACTTCTTCCAGGTATCCCATGCGGGTGCAGGGTCCCAAAGCTTTGGTCCATCCCTAACTGCTTTCCCAGGCCACAAGCAGGGAGCTGGATGGGAAGTAGAGCTGCCGGGATTAAAACCAGCACCCATATGGGATCCCGGTGCGTTCAAGGTGAGGACTTTAGCCGCTAGGCCATGCCGCTGGGCCCATGGCCTGCCCTAAGTCTTAGCATTTGCTAGCAAGTGCTACATCCTGACTCAGGCTAGCCCACCCCAAGTTGCAACTCTTGATGGTGCGTGCAACAGCCTAGCCTAGCCTTGCTTACCCCCAGAGCTTATGTGAACTGGCAAATATTGTGATCCATTCCAGCCTGGTCCGCACCCCATCCTGACTCTTGCTCTTACCAGTATATGCTGTAGACTGGCCCACCCAGCCTGCCCTCAAAACCACCTCAGACATACGCCAAGAGGTGCTGCACCCCAGCCAGGACTGGTCTACTCCCAATCCCCTCACTCACGCTCACCACTGGGATCTGTGGCTTAGCAGGAGAGTTGCTCACATTCTTCTACCAGTTCTGCCCTCAGTCCCAGATCTCTCATGTGCAACTGGATGCTGTGGCACAGCCTGATCTGGTGAGTCCTGACACTCACTGGTGGGTACCATGACCTGTTCTGATTGCTTTGTATGCATTCCATCTCCTGCCAATGGGTGCTACAACCTTCCCAGCCTGGCCCATGCACTTTCTTCTCCTTGTGAGCGCCAGCAGGTGCTGGAAGCTAGCCTTGTTTAGCCGCCCCCAAAACTGGTCCACACAAGTGCCAACAGGTACTGCAGCCTTGCCCTGCCCAGCCTGCCCACAGCCTCAGCTTTCACATTCATCAGTAGGAGTTACAGCCTAACAGCAGATTTCCAAAGTTCCCCTCCCTGACCCATTCCCAGTCCTGGATCTTGTGTGTGCTGGATGATACTTCAGGCCAGCCTGACATGGCCTATCCCCAGTCTCAGTTCTCACTGGCAGGTGTTGCAGTCTAGCCCAGCAGGGTGGGACCCACCTCCTGTCCTGGTTCTCATGCATGCCAGTGGGTGCTGTGGCCTGGTCCAGCCTGGTCTAGCCTGAGACCTGGTCCATACAAATACTGACAAGTGCTACAGCCTTGTCTGGCCTGGTCCAACCCAGCCCCAACTCTTGTGTTCTCCACCAAGAGCTGAGACCTAACAGGCAAGGTTCTCCAAATTCCCCTACCAGTCCTTTTTCCATACCCAGATCCCACACGTGCTGCTGAGTACAGTGGCCCTGCTTGGCATGATCTGCCTTCAATCCTGACCTTTGCATGTGCCAGCAAGTACTGTAGCTGGGCCCAGCCAGACCTCCTCTCTGCCCCAAGCTCTCAGGGTGTCAGGTGAGTTGCATGGTCCAGCCTGGCTCAACCAGTCACTATTCCCTGCTCTCCCTGGTGGGTGCTGCAATCTGTAGAGGTCTACCTCCTGCTCCAACAGTAGCAGGCAGGTTCTACAGTCTAGCCCCACTTCCCGCTCCCAGCATTTGTATGCACCAGTGGGTAGCTGGCAGTGCTATTTAGCCCAGTCCAGGTCTCACATATGGACAAGCATTTTGGCCTGAGGTAGATATGCCCTCTAGTTTCCAGTCTACAGACTACCTGGTATCAGCTCCTTCACCTACCTGAGAGTGTAGTGGTCTGGTCTGTAGAAGACTCCAGAAGTCATTTCTCCTCTGTGTGACATGCCCTCAGCTGTTGCCACTCCAATAAGTTCCCAGATCCCCTTCCCTGGGCAATCTGCAGGACTAGTGTTCGCTGCTTTCCCCACATATCTAAAAACAAACAAACAGCAGCAACAACAAAAAAGCTAGGCCGACAGCAGACAGTGGTATTGGAGATATAGTGGTGAGATAGTACATGTTCCAGATGAAAGAAGCACAAACTCTGTAGTTTGAAGATGCTTTGATTGAGAGCAAAGTGGGAGCGAGAACAGAATGCAGCAACAGGAGTTTTATGCCAAAGCCTTAAGAATAGTTGACCCATAAATGTGTAGAACAGGTTAAAAGCCAGTTCAGGGCCTCCAATGAGAATGAAAATATGAGTTATTAAAAGAACTGAAAGTCCCAACAGCTGAATAGAAAGTAAAGTGGGGATAGCTACAAGAGAAGCTGGGCCAAAGAAGAACCAAAATGAAGGAAGCCTTTGAAAGGTCATTGAAGAATTTTAAGCAGGCCATTAATGTACTAGATCTACATTTTGTTTCATATTTTTGCAAATGATCTAGAAGCAAGAGATAAATAGAAAACATTGATATATATCAAATGACAATTTATAATGCTAGAAGCTAATCTGCTTCCCAAAATAACATTCATGTGAGAGTCACAGGAAACAGGGACTGATGGTTATGCGATAAAGAGCTTGGGACTGTATTATAACCAGCATTACTCATCCATTACTTCATTAGATATGATGCAATGCTTATTATGTGCCAAGCATACCATCCTGGACATTGAAAGATGACTAAACTCTGATTTTTGTCCTCATCGAACTTAGACCATCTGCTCAATAGAGACTGAGTGAGAGTCAGGGCATTTGAGAGTATGATCTCATAGGTGACTTCATGCAAACATACCTATATAAATGCGTTTGTGTGTATAGTTAAACACAAGACCTGTTCCTACCTGTCCCAGCTCTATTATTTTTAAAAGTGTATTTATTTATTTTTATTGTAAAGGCAGATTTACAGAGAGAGGGGGAGAAAAAAAGATCTTGCATCCACTGGTTCACTCCTCAAGTGGCCATAAAGGCCAGAGCTTACTGCTGTTGTATCTCATTTGATTTGATTGGGTAGCATGACATTGCTGTTATTACCATAACCATTATTATGCAGAAGCCTTTTTTTTTTGCACATTTATTACAAGTGGGCTTTACTATCATATTTTTTGAAAAACTGTGCAACAATATATTACTCCAACTGCAATTTTCTTACCTTTTCATCTCTACAAATTTTAGAATCAAAAGAATTGTCTGAATCCTTTTCAGGATGATTTTTTTTTCAAAAGCTAAAAAATAGTTCTGGATAGTAGAAACCTTCCTCTTAAAACTAGGATTGTTAACCTTTTCTCAGTCTGATTTTAAACATTTTGTTGATCTTCATGTTGAAAAATGGAAAATCCATGTATAAATTTGTCTTAAAACTTTTAATTTTGGAACTCCAATATTTATATTTTTAATAAGAATCCTTTTTAAGTAGGATTCTTATCACACAATTAAAACAGATATAATATTAAATTACAAATATTAAACTTTTTACTCAATCTAAATAGAATTTTCAGAATTTAGTCTAATGGATATTGGTTATTAATCCTAACTTGTTTCATTGTACCACTACATCTGAAAGCAGTGATGATCAGATATGTTGCAAGTGCATTCCAAAAGCAGAAAATGTACCTCATCTTAAATAATAGACCTGAGGGCCTGGCATGGTACCCTAGTGGCTAAAGTCCTCACATTGTATGCTCCCAAATGGGCACCAGTTGGTATCTTGGCTGTTCCACTTCCCTTCCAGCTCCCTGCTTGTGGCCTGGAAAGCAGTAGAGAATGGTCCAAAGGCTTGGGACCCTGCCCCCGCATGGGAGATCCAGAAGATGCTCCTGGCTCCTGGCCTCAGATTGGCTCAGCTTTGGCTTTTATGCCACTTGAGGAGTGAACCAGTGGATGGAAGACCTTTTTTTCCCCCCCTCTCTCTGTAAATCTGCCTTTATAATAAAAATAAATAAATACACTTTTAAAAATAATAGAGCTAGGCAGGAACCTCTGACTAAAGTCTCTGAGCAGACCTCAAAAATCATGAGAATGGACCATATTTTTTCTTAATTTTTAATTCCTTGAGAGCTTATGCTTTATCTCTAGTTAAGCAGGGTATAATCTTTTCTGGTATGTTGAAACTTACATATGTTTCCTTTTTTCCAGAACTCATTTAGACACCTCCACTGAGTTGCGGTATTCCGTTGGATCCCTGGTGGACAACCAGTCTGATTACAGAACAACTAAAGTAATAAGAAGGCCAAGGAGAGGCCGCATGGGTGTGCGCAGAGATGAGCCAAAGGTTATTAATATTTTTATTGACAGTTTAAATTAAGTAGACTGAATTAACACAAAGATTTTGAAGTGAGAGCAATTTTCTTGGGCTCATGGAATATGACATATTTTTTAAAGTATAATTAATATAAATCAATTATTATGTGCTGAAATTTTGATTAATCATTTTCCATGTATTTAGACATGCAACATTATGAAGTGGGCACTAAGTATATGCTGACAGAATACAAGGGTTGATGCTCAGAAAGATTAAATATTCAAAATCACAGGAGTGATCTAGTGAGGAAGTCAGAACTTGAATGTGGTTTCATGTACTGTGCTTTACCTATATGTTATTTCCAGAAAAATGGCTTTTTATTTCCTTAGGGTGTTAAGGAATATTATGACTTATTAATTCAACCTAACTAACTATTCTAAAGTTGCCACTTCAAAAACATCTTGACAGATGTACATAAATTATCCAGTGTTTGGAGAACTATTGATGATTTGCAGTACTAATTTTTTTGTCTAATCAAAAGCTTAAAATTTATAGTTATCCTTGGTAAATAATGCAGTTGTATTTTATAGCCAAAAATATAGTTCCTTTGTACCTTAAATTTAATTGTCCTCGCAACTATTTTTATATATGAAAATTTTCTAACCCATCCCACCTTGTGTGCAGACTCTTGACACCTTTGGTTCTAACTAGCAACAGTATGTTGTGTGTAAATAAGTCCATCACAGTAGAAATCCAATGACTCTTGAATCAATAAGTAAATAAACAGAAATTGTATCAAGTTCCTTACAGACAGTTTCCCATTATGATGTGGCAATTATATTAGTGCTTCTCAGCCCCCAAACAGTGTGTAACACATATGTTACATCATGTCTTCAGGCTTTAAATTGACTCTGGACGAGATCACATGTTCCTATCTATACTGCATTCGACCTGAATAAAAGAAGGACCAGCTTTTCTTAAAAATCAGAAATCTCTAGTACCTCTCGTTTATGCCCACAACTTGAGAACTACTGGTCTGATAGTTAAAATTCATAATCAGATCTAGAACTTATTTTTAAGAAAAGAAATGGCCATGTTATCAGGTTTAAATAACCAAGGAAATGTTCAAGAGGCCAATGTAGCAATGATGGAATTAAGTACCTGCAATATTTCCTTCAAATCTGTGTAATTAAAGATTTGAGGAAGAATTCTTGTATAGTCTTACAGTATAACAGTATCCATGCTCTTAGTGTTTAGTAAGAAAAATGTAGATGTGGCCTGCACATGATGTAGTAGGCTAAGCTTCCACCTCTAGTGCCAGCATCCCACATGGGCACTGGTCCTAGTCCTGGCAGTTCTACTTCTGATCCAGTTCCCTACTTATGGCTTGGAAAGCAGCAGAGAATAGCCCAAGTCCTTGGGCTCTTGCACCTATGTGGGAGACCCAGAACAAGCTCCTGACTCCTGGCGTTAGATCATCTCAGCTCCAGCTGTTACAACTATCTGGGCAGTGAACCAGCAGATACATCACTCTTTCTGTCTTTCTTCTTTGTAAAATCTGTCTTTGAAATAAAGATTAAATAAATCTTTCTTTTAAAAAAAAGGAAAATGTAGTTAAGACTAATTAGCATCAAACTCAAAAATTTGAGTTATAAATAAATAGAAGTTGCTGTATTTGAAAATAAGGGAAAATTTGCAAGTGTCAATACTTTGTTACCTTGAAATTGATTGAACCAAAAATCATAAGCAAGTTTATTACCTTGGCCTATTAAATATATTAACAGCGGGAGTTGGCACCAAAGCACAGCAAGCTAATCCTCCCCTGCAGTGATGGCATATTAGAGTTGGCTCCTGTTGGGAATGCCCCACTTCTGATCCAGCTCCCTGCTTATGGCTTTGGAAAGCAGCAGAAGATGGCCCCAGGCCACGGGAGACCCAGCAGAGGCTCCTGGCTTCCAGCTTCAGACCAGCTCAGCTCTAGTCACTGTGGCCATTTGGGGACTAAACCAGTGAATGGAAAATCTCTCTCTCTCTCTCCCCCTTTCTTTCCTTCTTTCTATGTAACTCTGTCTTCCAAACTATAATAAAAATGTTGACATTGATTTCCCAATCAATATGCAGCATATTCAAGATGTCAAGGAATGATTTTGGTAAACCAATAAAATTTAAATGTTAATAATGTTCTATTTCTGCCAGGAAAACAAAGTAAACATGTGAACTTTGTGTTGTTTCTCGGATTAGTGCTTTAAACATGTGTGATATGATAAACACTGAACATTTTCACTTACCATTCAGGTAAAGTCTCTGGGGGATCATGAGTGGAATAGAACGCAGCAAATTGCAGTAATAAGCAGCCACCCTTTTGAAAGTGACACTGAAATGTCTGATATCGATGATGACGACAGAGACACAATTTTTAGCTCAATGGATCTTCTCTCTCCAAGTGGTCATTCTGATGCCCAGACCCTTGCCATGATGCTTCAGGAACAACTGGATGCAATTAACAAAGAGATCAGGTGAGTCTAGCTAATGCTGATAGTGTACAACGATGAAAATACCTTGATGACAAAACTGTAGTTCTCAGCACTGTCTTCATCCAGGAGATTGTTAGATCCGCAAAAATCCCAGACTTTAGATCTGAGCCATGTGACACATCCTGTGCATCTTTGCAAGGCGTCCATGTCTGTCTATATCCTATAGAAAGCTGAAACAGCCTTTGCAAGGAACATGTCTGAAATATATATAAATACACAATATTTGTGTTTATACAAAATAATAAGTATCAAATTACCATTTCTTATTGGAATAGGATACTAATGGGGCTCTACATCTATATCTTTCAAATTCATTTCACATAATTATAAAAGCAATGCACAGTATGAAAACAGTACATTCATTTCCTATAGAAGAATAAATTTCACTCTACTATCTCCATTTTCAGGGACTCCTTAATGAGATTGCAACTTTTACAACACCTAGAAATGTGCCATTTGTTAAAATTATTCTGATTTATTTGTTATTTACATGAGAAACAAAGAGAGACGTCCCATTTGCTAGTTTGTTTCACCAGGGCCACAACAACCAGGCAAGACCCGGTAGCCAGGAAGTCAGTTGGGGTTTCCCTTGTGATTAGCAGGGATCCAACTACTTGTGCCATCACCTCTTGCTTCCTGGGACGCCGGAACTGGGAGCAGAGAGGGACCCAAACCGAGGCACTCTAACAGGGGACAAGAAAGGCAGAGCTATCTATACCGTTATGTCTGAGTTTGAGTAGCTTTCTTATTACATAGAAAGCAATCAAGACATTTTAATTAATATCAATAGAAAAACATAGAACATGACTTACACTTGAACAGCAGCTTCTTATGATTTTCCTCTAATAATTGAATTACTAAATTGGCTTAAAATCAAGTATGAAGCATACATTGGGTGTTATGTTGCAAACATGGGTTAGGAACCCGTGTCCTACTCAAGTCACAGTTCCTGAGTTGGATGCCTGGTTCCTGCTTGTGACTCCAGCATCCTGCTAATGTAGACTCTAGGTATCAGTAGTAATGTTCCTTCTGTCCTTGTGAAAGACTGGACTGACTTCCTGATTCCTAGTTCTGGCATTACAGACATCAAGAAGTAAAAATAAGTAAATAAACTTGTAAAACAAAAATGAATATCTAGGTATATGTCATTGTGTTTTCTGCTGTCACCAACAATATCAGTACATACCCATGATAACAACCGATTTCTGTCCACAGACTCTTATTCTGTTCAGGATAACAGTCTTGACCTTGAATAATTAAGGTTATCATTTAGTACAATATATTGTCTCTAAGAATTTTTTTTAAGATGTATTTTTTATATATATTTGAAAGGCAGAAATAGAAGCAAAGGCTGAGAGAGCGGATCTTTCATATATTCATTCATTCTACAAATGGACACAGAGCTGGGCCAGTCCAAGACCTGGAGCCTGGAATTTCTTCCACGTCTTCCAGTTGAGTAAACTGGTGAAAGGACGTAGGCCATCCTGCTCTGCTTTTTTCCAGACCAATTGCAGCTGGATCGAAAGTGGAACAGCTGGAATGTAATACGGATATTGGTATTACATGTGGTAGCTTTGCCTGCTGCATCACAATATTAGCCCCAGATTTTTTTTTAAGATTTATTTTTATTGGAAAGGCGGATATACAGAGAGGAGAGACAGAGAGGAAGATCTTCCATCCGATGATTCACTCCCCAAGTGAGCGCAACGGCCGATACTATGCCGATCCGAAGCCAGGAGCCTCTTCCGGGTCTCCCACGTGGGTGCAGGGTCCCAAAGCTTTGGGCCATCCTGTTTTCCCGGGCCACAAGCAGGGAGCTGGATGGGAAGCGGGGCTGCCGGGATTAGAACCGGCGCCCATATGGGATCCCAGGTGTTCCAGGCAAGGACCTTAACCACTGCGCCACTGCGCCGGGCCCTAGCCCCAGAGTTTTTAAGCAAGATTTTAAATGCTTACATATTTATTTGTTTGTTTTATTTCAAGTCAAAAGAGACAAAGAAAGAGAGAGGGAGAAGGAAGAGAGAGTGAGGTATCATCTTTCAGCTGGTCACTTTTGAAATGCCCATGATCATTGAGACTGACCTAGTTGAAAATCAGAAGCCAAGAACTAAATCCACATATATCAGTGGATGGCAGGTACCCAAGTATCTGAGCCATCTCTTATTTCCTCCCAAGGTGCACATTAGCAAGAAGTTGGAATTAAGAGTAGAGTCAGGCAGGATATAACGTGGCATATGGGCATGCCAATGGCATCAAAAGTGCTACACCAAATACCCACTTCTTTAAAAAAAAATCACAAAGATGAGTTGTTTCAGTGACTTGGAATAAGATAATGCACAACCTTCTCAGTCAGTTAACATATGCTACTTGAAAACTGGGAGCATTGCAAAATGAAGTTAATGAAGGCACAGGAAGAAAATCATGAAAAAGCTATTGCTCAAGAAAAAGTCAGGTGGATAAATGGAGCTCAACAACAACCATAAACTAAGTAACAGCAGTACAGAACGAGTAACTGTTTCTCTTGCCAAATGACATTCCCATTGTTATTGTGTATATAAAAAGAAAACTGCCATTGTCATAAGTTTAATCCTATGAGTTATGTGTCATGGAGGATCATCAAAAAACATTTGAGTAAAAAGAGAAACATTAGCAATGTTTGTTTTCACGAGGGAAGAGAGCCCGAGGGAATACCAGTATGTTCTAGAATTGTATCTTCGCATCACATTGACTCTATTAAAGTGAATTTAAAAGTTAAAACAATTTTAAAAACATATCTCCTTTTCACAATATATAATATACTTAATTTCATTATAGCAACATGCAAAATATATGTAGACTGTACTTAAACAGCATATTTACATATTTTACATACATTACATATTTTATTCTTTGAAACTATGTAATGTCTAATTATAAAATATTCTTAAAGCTTCTCCCTATTTAAGTAACATAGGCAAGTGCTAAGGCTTGGCTTTCCCCAAAGCCTTTACATCAAGATTTTTAAAAAATATTTTTCTTCATCTATTTAAGTATCTAACAGTATCTCTATAATTAAAGTACCTAACACTTATTTAGACTCGGCTTAGGTGGATGTGATGCTAAAAATAATTATCTTTTATTTGGCTGTACAATAATTATGTGTGACCACTCACTGAGGAGCCTATAGATTAAACCTTTTACTTGAGTATAATGCAAGATATAATAATTTCATGGAGACTTACATTTCAAAAAGTGTTTTTACAGTGGATTGTAAATTCAAATGTAATATTAGGATTAACAGTACTCATTAACCAGGCTGTCAAGTTTTATAATGGTTTTGGTTGATGGTAACATGTAAAGAAGATTAAATCAAAAGTGGGCAGGAATTAATATCGTTTGGCAAGAAGACTTTCAAATTTCAGCTCGGAGTTGCCAGAAATGTATTGAAAGTTGTTGAGACTTTACATAAAAGGGTTACAAGGTAGAATATATTGATTTTATGAATTCCAGTTACTATTTGTAGCAGTATATGATGGATCAAAATTAAACTGTGTCTCCCAGGCTAATTCAAGAAGAAAAAGAATCTACAGAATTGCGTGCTGAGGAAATTGAGAATCGCGTGGCCAGTGTGAGCCTGGAAGGCCTGAACTTAGCAAGAGTCCACCCAGGTACCTCCATCACGGCCTCTGTGACAGCTTCCTCGCTGGCCAGTTCATCTCCCCCCAGCGGACACTCAACGCCAAAGCTCACCCCGCGAAGTCCTGCCCGGGAAATGGATCGGATGGGAGTCATGACACTGGTACGGTGATCTGTCCAGAGAATCAATGAATTCACACGAAGTTAATTTGGGTTCCCTCTAGCCTCAGGACTTTTTGTGGTTTTCTTTTATCCTTTCTTTCTTCCGTTTTTCTTCTGTCCTTCCATCCTTCTGCCCTTCCTTCCACAATCCAATGCGTTGAATACAATTTTCAATTCCATTATGAGGTGAGGAAATGGTAACCCTCGTGGGGATTACAACTTTGTCAAGGACACATGGTGAGTGAAGGGGAGGGACCTCAGTATTACATTAATAAATTACAACCTGTTGCATGGAATGCAAATTACATTTACTATAACAAATACAATTATTATGTATTATAATATTTTTCAACACCATGTCCAAAATGTGATTTAACCATAACTTTCATAAGAACCATAAAAAAGCAACAGCAGCAATTTGCTAACTTGGTTTTCAAATCCTTGCAAGTATCTTAATGTTACTCTTTTACTTCTTTATTTCATTTATCTTTATAGTCAGGATGGAAAGTGCCTCCATGCAAAACTTAGAGAAATTCAGAGAGTTTATGCTGGAAATTATAGAATAACCTCTGATTGATTGGGTCGATTACTGAATGCCATGATGCTTGTTTATGTCATTCTCATAAACTCTGAATGTGAGAGAATCATCTTCTTCAGGAGCAGAACTCACCGGAAGTGGGCAGCACGAATAAATATGCTGTGTTCAACACATGTAATAAAAGAAGCTCAATTTTTCTTCACACAAACTAAAAAACATGTACTATGTTGTTTTTTTCATTATATGGATAAATGTTAAGATGACAGCAATGCTAAGAATTAGAAAAATGTAAAATGTAATTAGATAAACTTCCATATTTTGAAATGAAGCTGTTAATTTTAAAGTTAGCTATCTTAACAATAATTTACAAACTAAGAATCAAACCACCTAGCGCAAAAACTAAAATCCAAATAGGTTATTATATACCATTCAAATCTAGTACAACAGAGAATAATCAACGATACACATATAACGCTGGTGATCAGAAGACTGAAACTACTTTAAAACCACAAGCTCCTAAGTCTATCCACCTGCATTTGAACATACACGTAAATAAACAAGCTTAAATCATCGTCTAAACACTACTGTTAGATATTTCAAAACAATGTATAATCCAGTAACTAAACTTTAAATCATAATAATTAAAGTTAGTTCATATAACTATACATGTACATGTGTATATGTACCAGTACCATATATGCATATAGTATGCATGTACATACTTATATGTATATGGTATATGTGTATGTGTTTAATACTATTTGAAGTTTTTAGTAAAGCCTTGTGGAAAAACAAACAAACAAAACCAAACAGGTGAAACTTAGCCATTCAGCCCTCTATTTTATGCTCATTTTCAGATTTGATATCATAAATGTTTTTAAAACAGAAAAGAGAAACAGTGGCCTATCGGGACAGTGACTAGCTATTCCGGACCATGCCATCCAGATAGGACACGAACTCTTATTCAGTGCAGTAGGAGAAAAGAAACACGAAGCAAAGATTCTGAGCCTCATCGAGATGTACCTATTTCAGAAATCGAGAAACTACCTTTCTGATTTTATTAACATGAATACATGCTGCCTCATGTTGTTTACAAACTTGTTAGGTTAACAATGATGGGTTTCTTAGGAGGAAGAACACCATGTAGTCTGCAATCCACACAGGAACACTTCAGTTATTTCTGTAATGCTGTTGTCTCTACATCTCTACAACATTGCGTCTTGCCCTTTTAAGTATTTTTATATTAGTCTCATAACCTTTAATGGGATTATTATCTCCCTAGCAATAAAATGGTTTAATTATAATCATTTAGATGTGTATGAAAAAAATGCAGTAAAAACACACAGTAAAAACATCCATTTTCTTGAGTAGTCATCCATACGAAGGTTATAAAATAACATTATTACACTATAATTAGAATATTTAAGAAACATTTACAGCATTTCCTAAAGCATAAAGAAATGGTTCAGGTGTTCAATACCTAATTCAGCAAAGCCAGAAATGAAATCAAGAAACTTCTTATCACACGTAAGACTCCATCACTCAAATTATTTTATAATGAAAGATAGGTGGATTCCTTTAATTGTAAAAAATATATATATATATATGAAGGAAAATAGATTTATTGGACATAATTCATATAGAAAAAAATCAGAAAATGATTTGAAATTTTATGAACAGAATGCTAAAAACTGAGAACACTGTATTATTTGAATTGTGCAATGATTTGAAACATGGAAGCCTTATAATAGATAATATTATATTTACTTTTATTTGGCAATGAATCCCAAAAGTATCAATAGTGTACTGGCAACATCTAGGTAGACTAAAGAATGGGATAAAAACAACACCTTTCCCACTAAAAATAACTATTTAAAAAATTCTGTTGAAGAACTTTGGCAAGGCAGTAGCACGAGGGGAACACTGCAGAGCTTATGATTTATGGGGGTGAGGAAGTTTGAGATCCCCAGGAATAGCTTCCCTGCTGAGGACTACCCAAGGCTCTGCATGGGGGAAGCAACCCCATGTGTGTGCATTGTACCTTCATTCCAACCTGAATTGTCTTGGGAAGATGTGGTGCCACACTTACGCTGGCAGTCTCTGACTGGATTCACTCCAGGTAACTCACTCTGTGCTGTAAGTGCCCAGGGTTCATGTCTCAAATTTAACACATGTGCAGGTGGCCCAGTCACAGAGACATGCATGTCACCAGGTCGTCTGAGTGGTTTCTTGTCTAAGGGAATTCTCAGCAGGAATGCTCTCATTTCCTTACTTAGGAAAGACAGAATGAAGTAAAAAAAAAAAAAAGTGAGAGCTGAGGTGTAGACACTATTTAAACTTTTAACATGGCCAAAGGAAAGTCATTAATTAGTTCTGTTTTATGTTGCTTTTATTACTGCCAATCACAGCCAAGTGATCTAAGGAAACACCGGAGAAAGGTACAGTAAATAACTTTTATAATCAATGCTAGTTGAATGTTGTTGTTTTTTTCCCCTGTCAAAAGTTTAAAATGACATTTCTCTAGTTGAAGCATCTCGATACAAAATAGAAATGTTAAAAAATATATATGACTACTGAATGTTTAAGTGCAAATAATTTGGAACGATTTCTGGGGTAATAACTAGATTAAGTGGGTTAAATATTCTGACTCATTCACTGAATATTTGAATTATAGATGGTAGAATTAAGAATTTTAAAGACAATTTTGGTTGTTTTCACAAGCTAGTTTTCAAGTCTTCGGGGTGAATATTCTCAGTAGTCTGATTGCTGGATCATACAGTAGTTTTGCTTTTTTAAAGAATTTTCTTGTTCTTCCACAATGATTGTAGTAATTCACATTCCCTTCCATAGTGTGTAAGGGTTTTGTTTCCTACATGTCTAACTCTAACCCCTAAATATGTACAATATTAATGGAAAATTTAATGCACGGTGGGTATGGAGTGGGTAGGGAAAGCTAGTTTTATTGTTAGTTAAGTAGAGTGAGAGAAAACTCTGGAGACAATTGTGGAAGGAAGATCAGTCTGTAACTCCGAGTTCTCTAAAGGCAAGTGCCTTGGGGAAGCATCAGGCTGCATGAGAAGAAAAGACAAATAAGGCAGATAAGGGCTTAGCTTATAGCCAGAAAGTTTTCTTTCAATTGCCTGGGGCAAAGGAATGCCTCCACTTGACTGATTGGGATAGTCTTAGCAGGTTAGGGAAGTTAATCCAGAGCAGGGATCCAAGCTGATGGCTTTGCATATATAAAAGGTTGACTCACCTAGGAGGTGGCTGTTAACCTTGCAAAGAGCAGTTTCTCTAGATGCCACAGTATCAAGAACACCAAAAGATGCTAGTTAAAACACTGCTTTCTCTTCAGAAAGAAAGCAAAAGAGTAAACATGGGCTTGGGAAGCAGAGTGGGTTCTGGTCTTGATCTACCACTGACACATTGTTAGATAAAGGAGGCAGGCAGAGACCTAGAGATGGAAAAGATAACACATTCAACCCACTCTCTAGAGCTTAAACACATTCTGTGAGCTGGACTATGGTTTCAGGAACTCCTAGAATCCAGTAACATTTTTATTTTTATTTGTGAAGTGGATTTCTATTAGCTTTAGGATTTAACCTGATGGAATTTTCTCCTTCTGAACCATTACATGTCTGTATTATAGTATGTTCTTAGCACTAGCAGTCAGTTCTCAACTATCAAATTTACCAAGTGCAATGTTATTATTGGGTCTTGACACCAATTTATAAAGATTAGAAAGAAATTTTGAAATCTAAAAAAAAAAAATGAGTAGGCTGTTAAAAGTTTAGCGAAAACAAAAAGTCTGTAAAGTTCTATACAGAAATGCAGTGTCTTGATATTCAGAGAGGAAACAGGTGGGGCAAGAAAGGCCTTGAGAAACGGGACACCACCTAAAGGTTCTTGTGTGTTAGTGTAAGAAATTACCTATAGAATTCACTCACACTGCAAAAGAACAACTAAATATTATGAGTTCCATTTTGTTGATGAATATGTTTAATACTCAAAGAGGAAATAAACAGCCCACCCATTGAAATTTCAAGAAAAACTAAAAGTTTATGTCCATTTCCAAATCCAAAGCTTTTCTCATGCACTTCCTTTATACAGTGTAAGCACAGAGCAGCAGGGTGCATACATTTGAAGAGCAATGTTGGGAAGAGGGTATAGTTTGTCGCAGTGCAAAAAGTATTTTATGAAGTGTTTCAGGGGTAAAATGGTGGAAACAAAACTGATTATGCTTAGAAGAAACAACCATAGAAAAGATTCATGTGGGCCCGGCGGCGTGGCCTAGCGGCTAAAGTCCTCACCTGGAACGCACCAGGATCCCATATGGGCGCCGGTTCTAATCCCGGCAGCTCCACTTCCTATCCAGCTCCCTGCTTGTGGCCTGGGAAAGCAGTTGAGGACGGCCCGGAGCTTTCGGTCCCTGCACCCGTGTGGGAGACCCCGTGTGGGATACCCAGAAGAAGTTCCTGGATTCTGGCTTCAGATCGGCATAGCTTCGGCTGTTGGCGCTCACTTGGGGAGTGAATCATTGGATGGAAGATCTTCCTCTCTGTCTCTCCTCCTCTCTGTATATCTGACTTTCCAATAAATAAATAAATCTTTTAAAAAAAAGAAAAAGAAAAGATTCATGTGAAACCATGAAACTATTAAAATATCAGTACACATTTGAAAGAGTTTAGAAGAGGTTATTGTAGCTCAGTGGGTTAAGCCCTTACTTGGGATGCTCGCATCCCAAATCAGATATATGGAGACCAAGTTATACCTCCCAAGCTGATGCCCTGCTAATGTGCTTGGTAATGTGCTTAGTAGGTAATGGCCCAGTGCTTGGGATTCTGCCACACACTAGGCCACCCTAGATGAGATCCCTGGCTCCTTGATGAGTGCGACACAGCTGTGTGGGCAGTCAGGAAGTGAAACAGTGAGCGAAGGAACTTATTCTCTCTTGCTCCATCTCCTAGTGCACTCTGCCAGTACAAAGCCAAGAGAGAATCATATGAAGATGTTTACCAAAGCTATCATAGGTAATTAGCAAAGATGACAGAAGCCTTGACAATTGTATTAAATTTCTCATATACAGAATATCCTTACTTTTGATACAGAAATTTATGCATAATAGGTTTTCATGAAAGGAAACAAGACCTTTTCTGAGAACACAACTTTAAAATTTTAATTTTAGCTATACTAGAAAATTTTTTCAACACAAATTTCCAAAGAATATACCTTTTAGGTATATCTCCCACTATCCTGATCTCTGTGTCACAATAGCTTTCCCATAGCTGCTGGACATTGACCTGTTGGGTTTGTTAAGGCAAACAATATTTTTTGTTTACTGAATTTACTACTTTTTAATTGTTGTTTATTCACTTATATAAAAAAAAGCAATTTGTAAAATCAGAGAGCAAGACAGAGAGAGAGAGAGAGAGAGAGACCTTCCATCCACTGGCTCATTTTCAGATGACTGCAAACGCAGAAGGTGAGCCAGGTTGCAGCTAAAAGCAAGAAGCTCACTCAGCTCTTCCCTGCATGCAGAAGAACCACAAATTCTGGCCAGTTTCCACTGCTTTGGGGAGGCCATTAGCAGGGAGCAAGATCAGAAGTGGACAGCTGGAGTCAACATCTTGTTCTGACCTGCTATGATTTATTCCAATACAGGCTTAACTTTTAAATAATACAAAAGCACTCTCTCTAGAACTGTGAATTTATATTTGTAATATGTAAGTTCCAAGTTTTCCATATATCTGTTTTTTGTATGAAAATTATCCAAATGAACTTTATCGAATGATTCTTCATTTGTGTGTTTTACTTCAAATGTAAAAATAATTCACTTGAATGTGTTGCCTTTTGTTTCTAGATTGCAGTGGTGGAAGAAGATGGTCGGGAGGACAAAGCAACAATTAAATGTGAAACTTCTCCTCCCCCGACACCTAGAGCCATCAGGATGACTCATACCCTCCCTTCTTCCCACCACAATGAGGCCCGGAGGTAAGTGTACCTGGGCACACCACACAGTGCTCGCTCTCCTTCCAAAATCATCCCATTTCCAGTGTTAGAGAATCCATGACTTAAAGTTTTATGCAAGATATTTTATTGAGCCAGAATTCTCCATCAAGGCATTGTTTTGTTTAATCTCTCCATTAGCATTTTTGAAATAATCGAATTCCCTGTTATCTTTGTGGTCTTGTTACTAGGTAGGATATATGTAAGAATAGTTCTTGGTTTTTAATTTCCTGTTGAAATAGAATTACATGAGAAGGAAGATTTGCTAGGAATAATTCCAAAAACCAAAGGGACTCTAGGATAAGACTATAAATTTGGATTACAATGTTAAGAGTAATTAACAAGTCGATGGATGTGTCTCAGTTACTTTCAACAGACAACTAGCTGTGTGTCCCTTGGGAATGCTGTTACTATTAACATTAATAACTCTTCAGACAAAAACACTAGAAAGGAAAAAGTAATCTCATTGATCAAGATATATAGATAACGTTTAGCTGGGGAAATAGCTTATTTGTCATATTGCATCTTCACACGCTCTTATGTCTAATGACTGAAAAATTACAAACAGACCTGTATAATAGTGATAAAAATATATCCAAGTTTGCCATTTACTTCTGAAACTAGTGTCTTGTTACTTTGGCCATGGTTGAAAGAACTAAATCTAGTGACTCAGTATGTATCACTGTGTGTGAGATGTGTGTATCATTAGGACATACAGTTTAATTTTTGCTTCTTTAACCCTCCCAGATTTTAGAGTAAATGTATTAGGCTCCAAAACTGAGATATATTAAGGACAACTGAAGAAAAATCAAGAAACCCCATGGACTAAAGTAATGGCTTCATGTTTTTAATTAGTTCTAATATTTCTTACGATTGGTCCCGATGTTTTTGATTAGGAAAAATAAAGAAACAGATGTTAGGACTGGATGTGCTATTTGCACACAAATAGTGAATTTCAACAAGGCTGTTTAAACGGGGCACAAAGAATTGCTCTCAAACCTGATCGTGTCACTGCCCTTTATGCTACTGTGCCAGCTCCAGGTGCACTGAGTGTCTCTCCCTGGACTTACCCCGCTGAAAAGAACATCGCAGCAAGGAGCCTTCTGCTCATTTACACCTGCCTTCTGGCAGTGGGTGTGGATCTCGGCATGTCCATGCGATCCCCTCCCAGGACGGTGTACATGCTTGCTGCCCAGTGACTGCTGGGCTGCCTCTCTTCTCCATGTCCTGGCCCAACACCACACGCTACACAGGATAGCTGCACGCTTGCTTCCCCTCCACCACACTCTCCTGTCTTCAATAAAAGATTTCCTGTTTGTAACTGGCTACCTCTTTGCCTTTTTAGAACCCTAAAAGTCCTAAATATAGCAATAGATAATGCTCCAGGGGCAAAATCACAGAAAGAGACTTAACATGCAGTAATTAAATTACCCTGTATTGATAAATTAGTTTTCATTATTAAATGCAGGGCCTGGTACCATAGCCTAGTGGCTAGAGTCCCTGCTTTGCAAGCACTGTGATCCCATATGGACACCGGTTTATATTCCAGCCACTCTACTTCCCATCCAACTCCATGATATTGGCCTGGGAAAGCAGTAGAGGATGACCCAAAGCCTTGAGACCCAAACCTGCACATTATACCCAGAAGTAGCTCCTGGTTTCAGATCAGCTCAATTCTGGCCATTGTGGTCACTTGGGGAGTGAACCAGCAGACAAAAGATATTTCTCTCTGTCTCTTCTTCTCTCTGTAAATCTGACTTTCCAGTAAAAGTAAATAAATCTTTTTAAGTTTTTACTAAATACAGTATAATGTGGGAGGAGCATTGGGCAAAAAAAGAAATTTTTTCTGTTGAACATGTCAATCTTGAAAGCCCTTGGGAGCGAGTAAACTCTACTCCATAACTCCAAAGGGAATTTGTGGAGAAAGATATCAATGACATCCAATGTGTATTTGCTCTTCTTTGGAATGTTTACAAAGCAGACAACCGTGGTGTGCTCTGAGGATGCTGTGGTGAAAACAAGCATGTTGCCCCATCTTGTGTTTTGCAGTAGCATTTCTGCCTCTCTTGAGCCAGAGAGCCTTGGGCTTGGAAGTGCCAACAGCAGCCAGGACTCTCTTCACAAAGCCCCCAAGAAGAAAGGAATCAAGTCTTCCATAGGGCGTTTGTTTGGTAAAAAAGAAAAAGCTCGACTTGGGCAGCTCCGTAAGTATGCACCTGCTCAACTTTCTACTCATTCCGGTTCCATTTGAGTGCCCGTCTTCCGGTTCTTCCATTCCACTTCTTACCTGTTTTGCAGAAAAAGTTTCCTACTTTGACTTCATGATCCGAATTTAGTGACATAGTGATTAAATATGATCCAGTGAAAGAATACCATAAAAATTTCGCTTTCCTTATTTGTATGTTAACAGTGACGGCTAGCATTTACTGAATAAACAAGGCTGCATGGGAAGCAGAATCGTTGCAGCCTGACCCAGTGCTCCAATAGGAGAGCCTGGAGTTGCATGCAGTAGCTTAAACTACTGCAACACAATGTCACTCCTTGAAATATCAAAAATAGTCTATCTGTCACAAGCGGAGGTAACTGGCAAAATGCTCCTTGAGCTTTGTTTTTCTTCTATAATTTCTATCAAAAAGATATGTGTTGCTATTAGTAGATTCATGGAGAAAATTTAACTTATGATATAAATGGCCTTCTTTTATTGCTCAGAATAAAAAGCCTGATTAATCCAACCATCGGTTGGTAGAAAATATTTCATCATTTACTGAATAGCTCTGCTTCATCAATCTATGTCCCCAGATAAACTGATCAAGTGTTTTCGTTTTTAAAAAAGATTTATTTCTTTTTCTTGGAAAGGCAGATATACAGAGAGGAGGAGAGACAGAGAGGGAGATCTTCCATCCAATGATTCACTCCCCAAGTGACTGTGCTTCAGCTGCTGCAGAGCCCATAAAGCCAGGAGCCAGGAACTTCCTCCAGGTATCCCATGCGAGTGCAGGGTCCCAAAGCTTTGGGCTGTCCTCAACTGCTTTCCCAGGCCACAAGCAGGGAACTGGATGCAAAGTGGAGCTGCGGGGATTAAAACCTGCGCCCATAAGGGATCCCAGCGCATTTAGGTGAGGATTTTAGCCACTAGGCTACCTCACTGGGCCCAACCAAGTATTTTCAAATTTCTAAGTGAATCATTCATTTTCATTTCCACAGACCATTTTACTGTTACTTGTAGAGTATGGAAAATAAGTTATGGCTATACAGTAGAACAAATATACAGATGAAAGAAATTTTTCAAGCTTCGTTTTGCATAATGAAAAATTACAAGTTAGAAAATGTTTTCCAGGAGCACTTCACCAACTAGTTGATGAATTTCCCAATGTTACCAACAATGAAAACTTTTTATAATTAAAAAAAATTCTAGCAGCCATTATACATGCACACAGTAAAATAAAATTTTAGTTCAAAACTCCATTGCTGGATCAGATATAGATAGCAACGGAAAGTAATAGGAACTTGCTTAAAATTATCCAGCTCAATAATAGACTATATGATTATCTTATTTAAATCAGTGTTTCAAAACTAGGAATGTCCAGTATTATACATTATTTGCTAAAATACATCTTTTGAGTCATTACAACTTAATTTGCGTCTTGTACTTTGGTAAAATATTTCATTCTGATAGTTTAGTAAAAAGAAACAGTATCTGTTTCAAGTTTACAAATGTCCTTAGTACAACAATGTCTATCATAACAGGAGAAGTATGAGAGTTGGTTTTACTAGTTTTCATTTACTCATACATAAGTGAATTTGGGGGGTTATCTTTGTAAATATTCATATTGTCTTCCTGATCTTAACTGGAATCTAAATTCCCACTATTAAAACTACTTTTATGGGACCTGCGTGGTAGCTTGGTGGCTAAAGTCCTCACCCTGCACCTGCCAGGATCTCATATAGATGCAAGTTTTTATCCCAGCTGCTCCACTTCCCTTCCAGCTCCCTGCTTGTGGCCTGGGAAAGCAGTCAAGGATGGCCCAAAGCGTTGGAACCCTGTGCCCATGTGGGAGACCCGGAAGAAGATCTTGGCTCCTGGATTCAGATCAGTTTCAGCTCTGGTTACTGTGGCCACTTGGGGTGTGAATTAGTGGATGGAAGATCTTTCCTCTCTGTCTCTCCTTCTACCTGCAGATCTACCTTCCCAATAAAAATAAATATAAATCTTAATAAATAAAATATATTTCTTAACACAGCTAAACAAAAATTTTAAAAATTGCTCCCTCATTTTGCAGTTACAACAGATAATTATCAACTACATGTTTAGGAATCCTGAATTCCTGACATTACACTGAAAAATGTGTACTTCTGTGCTTGATGTTCCTAACTTCTTTGTCCTTTCACTGCAAGGGTATACTTACATATGCGTATTATATACTAAAAACAAATAATGCTGATCAATGGGTGAAATGTGTCCTTTGCGGGATCTTTTAAAGAAAGAAATGTTTTTGTAGGTGTCATTATTATGACCTTTGAAAAACAAACCAAATCTGTCCAGAGCTCATGAAGTTCTGGAAGTGTGTTTTACAAGGAAGGAAAAGAGCGCAGTTCCCTGGCAGGATGCGGTTCCAGAGTGAGAGAAGAACGTAGAAGCCAGTGTGTGTGTATTCTCTCAACTTGCGATTGAGACTATGCACCTGAGCTTCTCCTCTTGGGGGTACCTTTCCCCCATAGTCAAAATCAGCTGTTGACAAAATAAATTTTCGTACTCTGTGAATATTCACTCTCCTATCCCGCAGGCAAAGTAGGAAAACTCATTGTGGAGCTTGGAGACCGACAGTGAAGCTACATTTGGCACATTGCTTGCGTTTGCTCTGTTGGCACTAGATGCAGTTACTGTACCAATAGTATTTTTGTATTCGTTCTCTCAATTCATGTTTACATATGTACTTATGCCATTTTAACCATCTAGACCTGCAGTCATAAGCGTAACCTTCCTATGGCGCATGTTTCTGGTCAGTGGCTCAGAAAGGCTTTTTCCGAAGTTCATTTCAGGCTTGAAACAGCGTGTGCAGCTCACCCTGGGTCTTTCCTTTGCACAGGAGGCTTCATGGAGACAGAAGCTGCAGCTCAGGAATCCCTGGGTTTGGGCAAACTTGGAACTCAAGCTGAGAAAGACAGAAGACTGAAGAAAAAGTAGGTTTGGAGACTTTTCCCTCGCTTTTCTAGTGTTAATTTATTCGTTATTATTGTTGACAGGGAGTTGAAAAATAAGAATGCTTAGAAACATTAACTAGACTGAGGCCAGAATTTCTCCAGCATTGCCTTAAACAGTTCAGTCTGCATACTTACTGGTCACAATGAGGTACCATTTGAAACTAGTATGAAACTCCTTGGCTTGGAATAGAAATAGTTTCTTATAAATGACCAAAACATGTATTTCAGAATTCCAAGTATGTGTAAAATACTTGTAGGTAACTTCAAGTAGTGCAATTCTCTGGGCAATGTTTAATTTATTATTGAGTTGGTATGGTGAAGAGGTAGAGAATAGCTTCCATCATTTGTTTTCCTTTCATGGCAGTTTTACCTGCTCTGCAGGATGGAATATTTAGAAGGATAAATGTTTCTCTGTCTGATCGCCTAGACAGTTATTTCAGACTTGCAGCAGATTGTTCTACATCTGTCAGGAAATTGTTAGCGTATCTTTTCATTCACATATAATGTGAGAACATTTACATGAGTTGCAAAATTGACAAATTTGGAGTCTCAGTAACTGTTGGAAAGCAAGTGGGTCCATAAATAAAATAGTTTAAAATGCGTGGTAAAGGTTTGAATGGTAAAATATCAGCTTAAGATTATATTCTTTATATAGAAAGTAATTTCTCCAAATTCTAGCATCTATTATTTGGTTATTCCTTTTGCTCTCCCTCCAGTATTTATGATTTTGCTTTCAAAATTTCCGCGTTCCCTTCTTGCCATGAAGCAATCTCAATTCCTTCAACCATCACTATGTGATAACTATATCCGTATACTGACCAGGCTAATTCGTTCAGTTATTAATTCATTCATTTGGAATTTTGCTTTCTTATTGCATGGGTGAAATGAGCAAACACATACAGTGTTGCACAACATCTCACTCAACTTATTCATCAAATTGCTAGTTGTTAAAATTAGAGGTATTTCCAGAGCTAGTAAAAACACAATCTAAAAGAGAGGCATGAAATAATTTCTTCTTCTTTACTGAATACAATTAAACATTAAATATATTGAATAACACTTACTGATCATTAAAAAATATTTTTAATTATGAGCACAATCTGTTTCAAGTATACTGAGTTTGTTTAGGGTTACCGAGCAATATTGTTTTTACTTTATAATTAGTTCCCAGATAACATTCTTCTAATAAATGCTATCCTTTGATTCTTTTACTTGGTTGCCTTAACTTCAACTCTAAAGGATTGTGAAAAACCAAAACCTAGCATGGCTATCGGATATGATTTTTTTCCTAACAGCTAATTCACATTTCTCCAACAAAGAAATATGTACAAATAATGACAGTCTAACCAGCTTGCATCATTGCATATTGAGTCATTGCACCACGTTGTTTCCTGACTGCGAGACTAGATTAACCAACCTTTTTGGAAAAGTTACTGAAGTTAAATATTAAAACAATGCAATGCTTATCAATAATGCATTTAAATTTTAGCTACTATTAATTTTGTGTTGACTTGGATATTAATTTTACAGAATTAGTTCCCAAATCTTAAGAACTCACTCAGAATTTTTTTTATTCTAAATTTAAAGATCTTATCATTTCAAGAAAATATAACTGTATCATTTATTAAATATATTATGAAGAATATTAATATTAAGAATGTTTCTTAAAACAGTGATAGCCAGCAATTCCTGACATAATTATCTCCTGAAACATAAGTGTATTTGGTTTAAAAATGGACACACCAGCAAGGCAGGACAGTTAATTGATGAAAATGGAAATGAACATCCTATTTTACTGCTACCGATAGCCAGAACCTCATGAGTATAAATACACATGCACTGAACGTGAGACTTATGCTAGTATGAGTAAGTGCTGACACTGATGCGGGACATGCTTATCTTGCTTGTGAGTTATAAACAAGTTAAATGGCTTCCTGTCATGAGTTTTACTGGATAGACAGGATAACCTGTTTTCAAAATTTAATAGAAGATTGTAATTATTATGAAAGCATTAATTCAACTACCTATTTGATTAGTTATTGAGTATTGCCAAATTTTTAAAAATTTCATTAAAACTACTCCAATATTTTTGTAAAAGATTTCATATCCTCTTACACTGTGCTTTAAATGGCACAGTCTCTAGAGGAATTAATTACGATATGGTTTCTATAAACAACATTTGAAAGAGATCATTTCAGAGGACAGCATCCAAGGCATTCTGGATTCTTGCAAAAGCTCAGAAATCTGCCATGTCAACATTCTTAAGTGAAAGTCTCAAATGAAGTGTAATTACCATCTTGTAAATTTAGCACACATAACTGAAATGGCTTTTCAAGTCTGTTTAGGTATTTTTCTTTAATTCTTTACTTTTATTTTCACTTTAGTTCCTGTTTCTGATGATAACAGTTATTAGTAGCTCTTGTCCCATGATGACAAATGGGATATCAAAACACTGGTTCAGCTAGAGCACTCACTAGTCAAGGAAATCACCTACCTTCACCTTCTTGATTGCTCTCACTTTCATCAGAACAATGTTTAACCAAAGCCTAAAGGTAACTTTCATGATTCTGACTCCTGCTCATTTCTGTTATACTTTACTTCAAACCTGTAAGTTTCTCCACTCAGCTTATATTCAGTACCATTCATGCCTGTAATTCTTGTGCAAACTCAACCTTGCCTAGTAATTCTTTGACTATTTCATGTAAATTCTCTTTGTAGTCCATGTTAGATTTTATCAGCTTTACTGTAGCCTCCTGGCACGGGTGACCTAATCTGTAGTGGATCTGTCTCTTACTGTCCACAGAAAGTCTCCACATTAATACTGTGGGGTTTCATAGTGCTCTCTGTGTGGACATCGTCTACAGGTACCCTGAATTCTTTGACATCTGAAGCTCCATATTCTATTTGATTTCACTGGACTCTAGACACCTTTTCCTATCTAACAGAAATGAGCCATTGGCCCTTTATCTGAGATGCACATTAATCTCAACTAGAACTGAGAATTTTGCTTCTGTCGTATTATACCTGTTGTCTCATGTTCAGAAATTATCTTAGTTCTGCAGCGAATGTTCTACACTAAGATTTAAAGCTACTTGTTCAGGGTGGTTGGTTAAAGCTAACCTCCTGCTATAAAATGAAAAAATAATAATAATAATTTAATCAAATAGATACTTACATTTCCACAAGATCAAAACTTTTATGGGAAATCCCAACAAGGACCTCAGTTTCTTCCTAAATTGTATATAAAGTATAGATTTTAGTATCTTATGGCCAAGTGAATATTTTCTTTGCCTAAGTTCAGAATCCATTTGCTGGTAGATACAGAAATTAGACAATCAGATAACAAAACAGACAAAGCTCTTAGAATATGACTTATGGATAAAGGTGAACCTTCCTAAACTAGGACATGCAACTGACACAACCTTCCTAACACTGAAGGCACGGCCTAGTCTGCTGCTTCCAACAGGTGGAGATCCAGAATCCACTTGACCTTAAAAATAAAAGTTAAAGATTATGATTTGATAGATATGCTGTATAAAATTGAGGACTACTAACATAAAATTTTGCATCATCTAAATTTTGACCTGCAGAAGAATCTTGAAGAATCACTTTTAACTATTTTTATTAGTATCTTAACACTTTCGAGAAAAACCACTGATGTGTATTTAACTTAGCTTGTCACACCGCCATTTCTAGAAGTGTGATGAAGTGGCAAACTCCCTCTATTGCCAGAGTCGTGAAGGCTCCTTTTGCATCTTAAATTAAGAATAATAATTGGAAAAAAGGGAACATCTATTAATTTCAAAATAATTATCTCAAACTTTTGAAGTTACTCTTTCTATTTCCTGTTACATTGAATGCCATGCCAGCATCATTCTTTTGTACATAACATACAGTAATTTTTTCTCCTCTCTGACTTTTTAAGACATTTCACTTTAGAGTTCAGAAGTGTCATGTGCTTATTCAAATATGTCCTTTTTTACTACATTGTTCTACTTTATAGTTTTAATCCAAGGACTAGCTAGGCTAACAAGTTTAACGTATATTGCCCTAAAGGATTCACATTTCTCAACTCAACTGTGGTTCCAAGGAGCTTATTTTTATAGAGACTTAAGGGATTAGAGAGGAGGGTATCTGTTCAGTGGCCGTGTGCTTGTCTAACTCTCGAAACTGCACTGATTACACAGTGGACACGCCAAGACTGACGGAAGAGACAGTGAATACTTATCCCCAGACACATAATTTACGAAATCTATAGCTCAATCTACTAACTTTTATCTTCATCTATGAATATTTCCCTCTGACTTTTTAACACTGAATTTTAAATAGACGATATATGCATATACAAAATCTTATGCATTTTGTGATATATTGAAAGATACTGTATGAATATTAACATGTTATCATTTTCAGTCCTTTATTAAGACATGGGTACCATATCATTATAGGTTGGAAATTTCTACAATCTCTAAATGGATAACAGTGCTAAATGAACATGAATTTCATTCTTGAATCAATTTTTCAACATCATTAAAATAAAATGAACATCCCACTCCGCTGTCAGCAGCATCCTCTCCAGGGGAACAGTTCTATCCTTGGAGCACGGCAGTCACAATTAATCAGTAGGAACGAATCTTTATGTTAGAACTTCAAAGGCATGCAAATGAAGCTCCATAAATTTCCTTAATTTATTCCCATTACAATCCTAAAAGGCCCTCTGCCAAGGCATAATCTCTAATGTGTTTTGAGATTGTGTATTTTTAATCTCTGGCATTTGGAAGGTTCAGAGTATACATATTTTTAAGCAAAATAAATGTCATAGAAATATTCATATTTAAAGGTATTCCATAAACTCTGCCACATTCTTTCATTAAATATTTGCTAACTGCTTATAAGCCAAATTAAACTTATAAATGATTTGTATTTCAGAAATTAGTTTTTAATTCATGCGTTAAGAGCTCTGAATACTATTTTATATC